GGGAGAGGGAGAGGGAGAGGGAGAGGGAGAGGGAGAGGGAGAGAGAGATTGATCAGTAGGATTTTTGTGCAGAAATTAATTTCCAAAGAATGGAGTTAGATAATTTAATATTATTGGAATTCAGAATTTACACACATATTTAGTTACAAGCAATATCTTTATTTTATGGAGTATTATTGTAAGACAGTTTTTTGAATAAAAGGAACCAGTGATTTTACCGGATATTACTGTGGAAAAGAGACATCACTTGGCGAGCAAAGTATAAAAAAAGACAATAAGGACATCCTTTTAGGATGCTAAGTAAGCAAACAAGAGGGAAAAGTCAACTTTGTATAAAGGTAAAGAATATTCTAAAATATTAAGAGAAAAATGGATGGTCTCTCTTTGCCTTTGTTACTATATAACCTCCCAAAGCAGGATATTTTATACATACTCGTATTACAGCCTTAAAATGGAATTCAGCTGAGCTTCTAAGAGTTTTCTGCTTAATTGTGAATTTAGTCCTAATTTAAATTTCATTTACTTTTAAATAGTTGGAAAAAGTTTTGAATCCAATTCATAATTTAACGTTTAAAAAGATAAATATGAAAGAGAGGAGCACTAAAAACCTATATGAAGTTAATAAAAAACAATTCATAGGAAACAAAATTGTCATTAGAGTTTAAATGGAAAGTCCAAGAGAAGTTTCTAGAATTAAAAGGAGTGAAGCAAGGCGCTGGATACAATATCAATAGGATTCATAAAGACCTGTGATGCCTAATTTAGAAAGTATATTTTTAAAAAGATCCCATTCATCAGAGCAACAAAAGCTTTAAGGTACCTAGGAACAAAACTAACAAGCAATATGGAATATACTCATGAAGAAAATAATGGAACTTTATTGAAGGAAATGAAAGAATACGTAAATACTATGTATATCATGTTCACAGATGGGAGGACCCACTAACACAAAAGATGTCAATTTGATAAATCTACAAATTCAAATCCAATCAAAAGCCCCACACAGAATATGACAAACTGATCCTAAAAGTCATAGGTAAAACTAAAGGGTTAAGAAGGAAGAAGAATATGGTGGGTGAGAGTGGGAGTAGTTGTCCATACCACATATTAGGAATCATTTTAAGGCTATAGTAATTAAGACAATGTGATGCTGGTGCAGGAAGACACAAGAACAATGGAAGAGAATAGAGAATCCCCAAACAGACCCATTTATATAAAGCAGAGACAGCTTTACAAATCACTGGGGGAAATATAGGAGAGTTGGTTGTTCATATAAGAAAAATAGATTAGAACCCCATTCCCACAATACATAACAATAAATTTCAGTTTGATTAAGGTCATACACATGTAAAAATATTTTTTTAACTTTTAGAAGAAAATATGGATGACAATCTTTATAATTGCTGCAAAGGGAAGACTTGTTTAAAAAGACATAAAAAGCAGAAATCATAAAGAAAAAGATTGATAAATATGGCTACTTTAAAATAAAAGCTGCTGCAAAACAAAAAGATACCACAAATAACATTTAAAGTCAGCCACAGACTAGAAGAAAATATCTGCAATGCATATAGCCAGCTAAAGATTAATATCCAGAATATATAAAGAACACTTACTTATAAAATAGGAAAAATAATTCAATAGAAAATGGACAAAAGACATGAACAGGCAAATCACCAATGGTCAATAAACATATAAAAAAGATGCTGAATAACACTTGAAATCAGAAAATGTATATTAAAACAAAACTGCCACTCCATACCCATCAAATTGGCAAAAGTTAATGTCTGACAGTACCAAGGGTTGGTGAGGATGGGAAAATGAGAAACTCACACACACTGATGATGGGAGTGAAAACTGGTCCAACCACTGTGGAAAGTATTTGGCAAGATCTAGTTAAAAGCTGAAAATGCACAGAGCACACAACCCTGTAATTCCACTTCCAGGTATATATGCTAAACAAAGTGCACATTTGCAAAAGCAGGTAGCTATTAGGATGTTCACTTCAGTGTTGATTGTAATAAAAAATTGGAAACAACCCACATATCCAACAACAGGAGAATGGATAAATAGCTGTGGTATTTTCATGTAATGAAATATTATACAGTAGTTACAATGAATGAACTAAGTGGACATGTATCTGCTGCATGAGTAAACCTCAAAAGCACAATGATGAATGAAACAAGTTGCAAAAAGATACAGATAACCTTTGTGTAAAATTTAATACATACAACAAATATTATATATTGTTTATGGATACAAATGAAATGAACATGTAAAACCAAGGAAGAGAGGATGCACGTCAGTTTCAGGGTATTTAGGTATGTCTGGGAAAAAGAGATGGGGCAATGGTATCGGGAAGGGTGTTTCAATTATCTGGAATGTTTTTTGCTTGAATACAAGTTTGTTAAAAATAGGACAAAATATTCATATATGTTAAATCTGTGGATAGTGCTTACATGGGTGTTTATTATTATTCTGTGTATGCTGGAAATATTTCAACACTAAAATAAAACTTAAAATATTAAAACAATTAAAATCAATAAAAGCAGAGGGTCTCATCAAACAGTCTGAGGTAGTCTATCACAGGGAAAAAAACCAAGTCAGAATCTGAAAAAAATGATCTGTTGGGAAAAATCGGCCAATTGACTGTTTAAAACCATTGATTGACATGAGGTACAAATACAACATTGTTTTTGTGCTATTAAAAGGCATGGCTTCATTGAATGCCTATTACTGATTTAGCAGTTGGAATAAACTGTTCAGTTGCCAGAACTGGCAATTTTAATTTTAAGCTCTACTTATGAAGTAACAGTCATGTCATGTTTTATTAGATTTATTAGAAGAATGAAATATGAGAATGGAACTCTGACACTGCCAAGTGCCTACGGAGTTTGTATCTGGTAATTCCAAAATTTACATAACTCTGTCTTCTGTTCTACATTGTTGTTTGCTTAAAATAAAGCGACATTCATGATTAAATAAATTTTCTATTTCAGGTTGGATTTTGGGGGACAGTTTTCTACTTTAGTTTTCTATTCCTCTCTACATTATCAAATGTAATGATCTCCAATATACTGTGACTCATTACACAATATATTTGATTAATAGAAGAGAATCAGATTTCACTTGTTTTTGCAACTCCCTGTTTCCTGACACAAGTGAAAAGCTGGGGAGCAACGCTGCTCCAGTGAGGCACCTGAACGGGCTCAGCTTCACTAGATGTGGAAGGAGAGGTGGGCCTTGACTGGATGTAAAACTTGACGTTCGGATTCCGTACATATGTGTTCTCAACGGGGTCGGTCTAGGAAAATAAGTCAGGAGAAACAAAAACCCAAGAAATCACTTTTAAACAACGAGCAGCTCTTAACAAATTTTTGTACGGCATGATCATGATAACATTTCTTGAGAAAGGAGGATAACAAATTTAGTTTGAATAATCACATTAGGGATGTGTCATATACAAAGGCATAACCACGAGCTTTAATGCAAACAAAGGTTAGGAAAATACTTAACGAAATGCTCCAATTTTCACTGCTGATCTCTTACTTTGAGCACTGATCGCTGCTGTATGTTCTTTACTTGTATTCCACATGCAACTTTTCACAAAATAAATCATACATGTGAAATAAACACAGAGTATACTTACTAGAGATAGGTACTGCAGATTAGAGATAATTTTGTCCTTGATAAGAATGAAATTTGGTTGTCTACCAGGCATTTGCTGAAAGTAAAAGAAACTGACTGACCTATTAGCTTTGTGCTTGTCACTAAAGTAAATCCCCTTTTTTATTTTGCAGCAGTAGAAATATCAGCACTTATTTTCAGCTGCACCCTTTTAATCAAGTATTTTTAGAAACTGAAAATGCTTTGGGTTAAAATTTAGCATAAAAGAGCTTATGGAGCACACTAATGATATATTTAGTTTGGTGACTTTCAAAATTACTAGAATTGGGTTTTTAAAAGGAAAGGCAATGAAAGTAATTTGTAGAGGAGGCTAGGGAATATGTTTCAAATATGTTGTACAGCAGGAATAATGCTTAGATCAGAACTTACAGTCAATGAAAAGAGCATCAGCTTAAAGATTTTAAATATGTACTTCAAATGATTTTTTCTTTTCTTTCTTATTATTATGGTTACTATTTTACTGGCTGCTAGTGGGCTGGCAAACATTGTAGTAGCCCTCTGCTGGTGCCCACCTGTGTGTAGCCTCCCGGGGTGGTAGGCGTACGCAGGTATGCTGGCAACCCACAAAGCAAAACTTCGGTGGGGCTGATAACATGGCCACCAAGCAGGCCTTAAGCCTGCAGTTATTGGAGTCGGGAGAAGTGTGGAGAAGGGTCTCAGTGAGGGCATCAGGGGCTCGGAGCAGCAGCTGTTTACTACCAGCTAGGAAAATAATCCAATATTTTAAAAATGGGAATGACTGAACAAGTATGGCAGCTGTATGTCAGTTCTATGCGTGCGACGTGGCTAATTTCATAAAACCAGCACGCCTTATGAAGTGGGACAGCCAGGCCTGAACTCCATCTCTTGACTTCAAATATAGTATTCTTTTCATTGTACCAGAGACAACTCCACAGTAGAGAAACTTGGTGACCATGGAAGCCAAGTTATATTATCTCCTTTCCTGACGAACTCTGACCAGGAAGAGAATAAAAGGAAGAAGAAAATGGGACTCAAGACAAATTCTACCTCATTCACAATTTTACTCAGGGACAGCCCTGGAGAAGGTAATCAGTTTAAATTATTAATCTTTGATCTTGATTTGGGAATAAGGCAGAAATGTCTTTTATTTCTAAAAATCTCCTAGTTTCCATCATTATATAAATTATAAGCTGAATAAGAGTCCACAGGGAAGAGGGTTCAATTAAAATGGAACTGATAAGCAAAGTAGTATTGATGTGTTTTATACTAGTAAGAACTGAAAACTTACTTAACTGTCTCATAAAGTTTTAAAGGAGTGTGCAAGTTGGGGATTTGTTATATGTAAAACACTGGGTCATCTTAAGAAAATTTAAGTTTCTGACCTACCACACAAAAGCCTTTATCCCATAGCTTGATTGAAAGACATGAAGTCAGACATTTCTATGCAGACGATAATGCTGTGAAGAGGACTGCATAGCTAATACAGTGACTTTTACCTCTGGGTCCAATTACTTTCAAAAACTCTTCAAAAATGAGAAAGGCAAGAGCTTGCTGTTTCCCAAAGTCCTGGCTGAAGTTTTAAAGCAGGTTTGCTCTTTGAGTCACGTGAACATGCTGACAGAAGGTCAGTCAGCATACTGTTTTGTATACATTCTTGTATGAAATTAGAATACACTGCCTTAAGACATTTTGCCAGTATGCTATAATGGGAGGTTTACATCACGAACATCAGAAACCTAAAATCAAGCCCGTCCCCCTGCCCCATAATTGGTTTTTAAAACCAGCATGTTTTGTGACCCTATGAAAATGTGACATTACGACAGTGTGAAATTGGGCAAAGGGCAAAATGCACTATCACAGTTTAGTCTGTGATTACACAAATTATAGTGACTCTGAAAGAACTCTTGAGGCTTTTAACAAGTATCTCTTGGCTCTTCTGAAGAAATATTGTCATTTATGAAAACTGTTTTCTCCTAATAAGTTTTTACTCATCAATAAAAATAAAACAATTTTTTGGAGCTGTATACTCTTAAACTAACAATAAATCCCAGAGATTAAAAAAGATCAAGTTAGTTTTTGTTAATAAAAAATTTTTTAATAAGTAAAAATATTGGAATATTTTGAGCATTAATTGAGCATATTAAAAAACTGAACTATGCCATTTACAATGATACTCTGATTTTTTTAAAAAAAATACATGATATATAACTGAAGTTTATTTTCCAAAAGCATGTTTCTTATAATGACAAAGTTGGTAAAGATGAATAAACTCATGGCAAAAAAGTTTTGAATAGCAAATTTTAAAACAAATCTCCAGGTCTTTTAAAAGATTCTACTAGAAACTAATAGCTAATCAGATTAATAGATTTTAGTTCTTCACTTCCTTTCTGGATTACTATCGATGTAAATAATATCTCAAAAGAGGACTAACAGTAAGAATAATAAAAATACAATGCCACATATATTTTCTTTATCAAAGTATTAATTGTCACCAAGAGGACTGTGGTTTTCAAGATGTTATTAACTTTATAAATATTTACCAGTGCATTTCTAATTAATGGCTTATTCTAGCCACTAAAAAGCAGTTAATTTTACTAAATTTTCGTAATACTCAAATTTACATAATACTCAATGATCATATGTCAGGATTTACAGATAACCTAAAGTTAATTTTAGTAATTAACCTGCAATGATTCAGATATAACATGGCAGCAAAGCAATTATTAATTGCATATTAGTTATTTTTACCTTCAAAAGAAAAATAATCATTAATATTATATTTAAACCATAGAAGTTAAAAAATTCTGTTATAAAATATTAATGTAAACAAATTAATGAGAGTACTAAATGTAAACAATGACTTTAATGATGCAGGAAAAGCTAATAAATATGATATCCATCAATAGCAGAGATATCTTAATTCCATAATTGGGTTTATAATTACAGAACGAATGATTAAAAGGGGATAATACTAAAAATCAATAAATAGCTAATATTAATTAGACCGTATATTTTGATATTATCCAAAGATCATGGAAACAAATCTTAACAGTGTGAGCAATTCACTCAATATTCTAACCTGTAATCTACTGAAAAAATAGTTAATCAATTCTTTTTTCTAATTAAACACTTTAAGGAGTTTTTCTGATAAAAAGGCATTGGAAACATCTACTATACACCAGTGTCATTTTTATGTACTGCTCTACTATTTGGAATAAAAAGTAGAAAAACTGAGTATCAGCAATATTGTCCACAATGCAAAACATTGTCGTGTAAAAAGTCCATAATGTTTCCTGAATCCATTAGGATTTCCCTAATGAATAATCCACAAAATGTATTTTTAGAACAGTAAAGTAAAATACAAGTTTTTTTCTCCCTGGATCAGATCTGATTTTTAGATGACCTATAAGCAAGAATTCCTCAAATTACGCAGTTCTTCTTATAAATAATAAAAACTACTAAAACTACTTATCTTGAATATGCCTCAATGGGCCTTTTCTACTATAAAAATAATTACAGATTTGAACAAATACAAGTAGCAAAACATTCTATTAAGAAACCTGGTTTTAAAGTAAAACATACCAAGTTTTATATGGATTTGATATAGATTAAAAATAGCTTAAAGCCAACATGTTTTGTATTGGTAAATATAAAACTCTAAGTTAACAGTAAAAAATTTAATTTTTATCAATTTTCTTTATCCTTTAGCTAGAAATATTTTGGAAACAAAGTGGTAAATAATCAAATTTTTTGTATTCAGAAACACTTTATAACCTCAAACTTTTAGTAATGTAATTCTGTTAAGTGAGCTTATGATAAAAAACAGTATTATAGAAATACTGTATCATTTGGACAATTTAAATACAATATTTTATCATTCTAAAACAAATCATAAATTCCTGAAGGTTATGACTAGTAAGTGTAATCTCCCTAGTTACAAATAACGTATGTTTCTCTTTATGAAAACTTCTCAAATTTTTTTCAACATATTGATCTGAATATCTACAAGTGTTCTAAGGAAACATAAGAAAGTTAAGCCACATGTTGGCTATTTATAATCTCTGCTCCAAGTTCTGAAGGAATAATCTAAAATAAAACACTCAGTGTTTCTCAGTATTAATGAAAACAATATGGACCTTTCCATAACCAGTTGTATTCAGGCATTAATAATATTTATAAATCTTTCTTATACTATGCTTAATTAAATAACACCACTTACAAAGAACATAAGTATTCAGATTGTAAATGAGGCTTTCTAGCACACTGGAAATGAAAATACAGTAATACCTCATATATTTGTCACTTATAGAATTTTAAACTTATAAAAGTATTATGTATTTGCTTGTTTAAAAACATGATATATACATAAAATTGTATACTACTATTGGATTCGAGGCCTCTGTTACAAATGGTAACTACATACATGGGTTCTACACTGATGTTCAGGGACTACTGAGGTTCCTTACTATTCTACTGAGATGTTTCCATGTAACTTCAATAATTAGTAATTCTTCAATCACCTTCCTCATGGACATTACCACTTTTCAGTGGTTGACTTTTCATCTGTCACATACTTAAATAGGAAAAACTGAAGGAACCCTGGAAAGCAAATGACCATGCCTATCACATGTGCATAAAAAAAATCATACGTAATTATTAGTCAGTGGGTTCTGGTTAAGTGTGGTTGATTCATATCCTATAAAGTTATAGACCAAGGAGCAGGGACTTCATAACAGCTTTTCCCTCAAATTATTTTCCTTATTTCAAGATTCACAGAAATGTTCTGGGTGGCCAAAGCCCCTAGAAGTCTGCAAGGCAAGTAGATATAACTAATCTGTAATAAATATTACCAGAAAAACAAAACCTCTCTGAATTATAACCTTATTCAAAAACAGTTAAAATTTTAGTCAGTTCACAGGCTGATGATTTGAACCTAATACAACTGGGCACACATTTTGGTCTTCCCTTCCAGAGGTTATATGATATAATTAACATATGCTCAGATTAATCTGATAAACCGAAACAGCCAATGGTTTTAACTTGCTACAAATGTCAAAATAATTAAGAAACCAGGTGAACCAGCAATCTGTTCATAAACTTCATTAAATAATGAGATATCAGTTGAACTGGTATCAGAGGTTGATAAACAGTATCTGAACTGCTTCTTCATTATTAACCAGTAGTTTGAAAATATGTGCTCTATAAGGGTTAATCATATTTAATTTACAATCAGCTCTCCATCACTCCAGAAAGATAAGAGCACAGGAAGCAGTGGGCCACTCTACTGCTTTCCACGCCTCCGTGAATCAGAGAATTCCCTCATCTACAACTTTTCAAGTCCAAGGATTCTGGATTTAAGGTGTTGATCAATACCAATGATCACAAAGCTGGCAGGTAAAAGTTTAAAATGTGTATCTATCACAGACTTTCCTTTTTAATGTTACTGTTTTACATGGCATATGAAAATCAGAGCCAACAATGTCATCTAGCCCACTGCTTCTCAACTGAGAAGTATGTATATGTGTATATTGGCATTGGGTGGAGGCTGGTTTAGAAAAATTTGAGGCCTTTCCACAAACAGGTTCCCCACTCTGGGCATATCAGAATCTTGCAGGATAGAGGTGGCAGCTGGCCCATTTCAGATTGAGAAACACTGAGCTAGCCTTGGCATAACAAAGAATGTTACAAATATTTTAAAAATCTGGGGTATATTTTAGAATATAAATGATGTATTATTAATATTATTGCTCCAAATCTATAAGAATTTAGGGATATTCCTTTGAACTACATAAAAAAAATCTATTAAAGATTTCTCCAGAGCTGATTTACATAAAATTATAGTCAATAAGATCTATAACTTGTCCCAAATCATTTTTGAAATTTGCATAATATGAATTATCAAGTTTTCTTTCTATATAATGAAAATCTCTAAGAAATCTCTACATATTTGCTGATATCAGATTCTTATTTAGAAACTCATATACTTTGTATGTGATCAAGTTAGAAAGCATATTTTAGGATCACTTATTTCCCCAAAGTAAAAAAGATACCTTATAATTTTAGTAGTTTGGTTACAGAAATCTATATGGAACATTCCTAAAGCTTTGCGGCCAAAGTCAAAAGCAAATAAAAAAAAATACAGCAAAGCAGGTAGCGACAGCAGGAGCAGCAGCACAAAGCATGCAATAAATGTAATAATACAGCACAAAAACATTAGCATGTTCTGCAACCACAGGCAAAAAGGATAAGAGAGAGGGTGGAGGGCTCAGGATGGGTACACAAAGTGCAATAGTCTCTTACACGTCTGCCTTTGCTAGCTGGAGTACAGGATGGAGAGCGCTTCAACAGAGAAAGGAGAACACTACATGTTACAAGTATTTCCACACATGACTCTCAATGACTACTACTGTATTAATAGACAAAGTATATAAACATACATAGACACATTTTTTTGCAAGGTTGAAAGGACATGTATTTTCAGGAAAAAACTGGAGGATAGGACAGTGAAGACACAGTTGTTTAGACCAGGTCTAAGAATGATACTGAGTTTTCACAGGACCTTGCACAGTGACCCACAGCATAACACTCCATCAAGCGACGGACAATTTCTTCTCTAGAAAGGCTGGCAGTAGCAACTTGAAATGTCAGAACAAAAAGGATCTAAACAATTCTGATTTAGTGCTGGTAAACATTTAATAAAACATTTAATTAACTAGTCCTGCTTGAGACATTTACCTACCAAATTCTTACTCTTTTCAAAGATGATTCTTTTAAATGATAAGAGCTAAATTAGGCCTTCAGAATTATTGATAATGGATTAAAGCAGAAACAGTGACTTCAACAAAACGGTCCTTCTTGACTAGATATTAGGCTTAGTCAAAAGAGGGACCTTCACCATTCTGGCATTAAAGAATTAAGTGATTAGGAAAAAGTAACAATAAGTAGGTAATAATTACATCAAAATATTCTTCAAGTTTGTGATGCTCAAGCAGTAGAGATCACAAATATGAACCGTATCTACCCAGGCAATTTCCTATACTCACTTCAACTTAACATTTACTAGGTTTATTTATAATATGTCAGGTACTTAAAAGATAAAGTAGGCATGGAAGGTAACAGGCTGGTGGGGAAGACATCAAGCCATCCACAATGTAATAAATGCTATAACAGAGATATGTTCAAAGTTTGTGGGAACCTGGAAGAGAGTTGTGCAAGATTTTTATAGAGACCTAGAGGAGAAATCTATAAATGAGTTGACAGGAGTCATGGAAGATTTCAGAGAAAACTTCAAGGATAAGAAACATCATTCAAGATTATCAGTTTTATTTGTATAACAACTCAGGCAGGTTGGTAAACAGGAACTGTTATTTCTTTCTATAGGAAACTGGACTGGAAGGTGATTTGAACACTGTCCCAAAGAGTTAATAGCAAACCGGGATTAGAAGGCCTGCAGGTTTCTAAACAAGTTTTTGTTTCTTACTCGTCAGTCTTCCATTATGTTGGAGGTCCAAGTCTCAGATTTAAACCTGGTTATATTCCCTCCGTTATTAAGACAGGAAGTACCTGTCTTACCCTCCCCACCCGCAACCAAACACAAAACAACTCAAGCCCCAACCCTTGCTTTAGCTAACATTTAATCTCTCCCCTCTCTTCCTTAATAATGACAATAGCTAATGTTTATCATGTGTATAATATATAGACACTTTTCAAAATACTTTACATATATGAACTCTTTTAATTTTCCCAGAAACCCTTAAGGAGGGTAATGTGATACTTATTTTAAACACGAAGTAAACAGATTAACTTGCCACAGGTCACAAAACTGAAAGGGTCTGTACTTCCTAGCCTCTCAATTCACTTCTCAATACAATACAATTTGGCTTCTACTTTGATCACTAATAATAAGATAAGCATTTGGGGGTCAGTTCTATGTATGATTTATTTTAGTATCTACCATTGTGTAGAGTGTAGTATTACACATGTAAAAAGTGCTAAAATGTTTAACATAGAGAAATCTTTTACTTTTTATTTACTACTAGATCAGAGTCTGGAATGTGTTAAAACCACGAAAATGCATGAATAGCTCAAAGTAAATATATCACCTCGAAAAAGAGATAAGTCAAAATGTCTCTCAAAATTATCTCTTGCATTTGAAGGACAACACATTTTCCAAGCTGGCGTTGAACAAAGCTAATAATGATGCTAAGTCACTATGGTATCAATGTTCTTCCCAGAGTGTCTACCTACAAATTTGACAACTATTTTTATGTTTTCAACAGAAAAGGGCAAATTATACTTTTTTGCTGATGGTACAATTAGAGGAAAACTCTCTCTCTCTCTTTCGCTCGCTCTGTCTCTCTCTCATACACATCCCCAGACACCATGGTTTTCTACAAACACTGAAACTGGTCTTACAAAACACTGAAAACTAGTATGTTGTCTTAATATGCAATCACATACCATTTAAAAATATTTATTTTATATTTAGGTCTATAAATTGCCACCAGAACTTTAAGGCTGATTATGGAAACACACAAGCAAAAACCAAAAGAAGTAATTTATCTTGTGGACACATAATTTGGCTAATTGATTTTAACTTTCAGTTAATGTATTCCAGAGATCTTATTTAATAAAATACTGAAGACGTGCAAGACTGTGTAGGCATGGTTCTTTCCCTCTAGATTGCCTAAATACATTACAATGTATGATATACAAAATATATAATATATACAATAATGCACTATATAATGTATTCCTAAGTTAGAGGAGGATTGCATATGACAATATTCTGAAATGTGAGAGTTTCAAGTAAGGTTGTGCTTAACGGTATCTGGGGATAGTGGATTGTTCATGAGAATTAATGGAAGACAGAAATTTAAAATGTGTTGTAAAGATTTTTTATCCTATGACCAAAACTGGCCTAGATCCTCCTAAGAAATTATGGTACTCTTAAATTTTCTTCCTTCGATTCTTGTTTTTTTAAAACTTTCATCCAAATATTAAAACTAAGCTGCCAAGCCTCAGATTTCTGTGACTTGTTAAGATAGAATATGAAAAAACATATGTTAAAATCAAGAGATGAATGAAGGAAGCAAGGAACCAAGACTGAAATGAAATATTTTGGAACACCTTAGTAAGAGTTTATGTGAGGCCAAAACCATGAGTAGAATCAGCCTGATACCACTCTCAGCCTACCTTAGTACTTAGTACTTAGTGCTTCTCTTAGTACGTCAGAATACAAGAAAAAAGTGTTAGGAGAGCCGGACAGTTGGGCTACAAGTACTATCTCTATTCCTTTTCATCCGACCTTTATATTCTGAACTTTAATTCCTAATTTACTCTTTCCTCAGGATACTAGAGTAAGACAACCTCCAAAAAGCAACTTGCTCCATTCTCATTTGCCAGGTAAATAGGCAATTTCCATTTTTGTAAACTTGGCTTAAATGAGCAGAGTGTAGAATTGTAATTTAATAAAACTCAAAACTTACCTGGCATATATTTACTATATGACAATATGGTTATCAAACATAAAGAGCAAGTAGTTCATTTATATGACTATAATTAGCATTACCATTAATACAGTCAAGTCAAGCATTTGGGGGGTTCCTTCGAAAAGATGCAAATGAGCTGAACAAAATAGGAAGTTCCTGTAAGCTTGGTGTGATGACCCCTGGAACTGTTACCATTGGGATGAAGGGAACAGATGTGGAAAACCCAGGTTGCTGAGCTCCATTTGTCCCTCTCTGGCTTGTTGCCTGGAGGATGAGGCCTAAGGTGGAGTCATCACAGGCAGTCCAGGACTGGGCATGTGGGGTTGAGACAAAAGATGAGGGTAGGAGAGGAAATAATTTCCACAGCAGAAGGGATCCTGTGTTTGTCCTGCTGTTGTCCTAATGCCTCATATGGGAATACCTTACCCAGGAGACCACTTATCAAAGAAGTCCCAGTTTTCTTTAAAATGAACTATAAACACTTTTAATCTGCCCTAAAGAATATCATAAATAACCCTGTATCACTGCTTCTTTAATACCCCAAAGACAGAATCCTAAAAAGTTCACTCTTACTAATGGGAGAGTATTGTGATAAATAATGGTTAAAACCACGGGATTAAATATTGTCTAAGGTTCCTTTTTTCCTTCAAGTCTGTGATTCTGCATATAGAAAAACCCAAATGCCTAAATCCCCAAGTTACAGAAGCAGGGTGTTGAGGATGTGTTCTGCTTTGCCTGAATCAGAGGCAAGGGTGGGGCCGATGTTACGTATACTCCTCTTCTGTCAAGGCCGCTCTTACACGCTGAGTTGTCTGCACAGTGTAACATAAAAAGAAAAGCACCTTGCCCCAAATGTCTTCTCCTACTGCCCCAAATCCTAGCACCCATTTGAATTCTGAATTAAAAGGCAAAACATACGGAGGAAAAATTAGATTTGGGAGCATGGTGATATGTACTATTTTAAGTAGAGGGATTATGGTTTTAATAGACGTGTATGGGAGGGTTAAGGGGAAAGTAGGGATGATTTTGGAGGAGGCAGGGCACTGGTGCTAAAGTTCTGAAGAGTCAGAGGCAGTATGAGAAGAGCACTAGGCTACTGGGGTAGACGGAGAAGGTCAATGGAGAAAGCAGATGGTGAGGACACCAAAGGAAACTTGATTTCTGCAACTTTGCTTAATACTAGCCTTATTCCCTCCTACACCTACAAATTCTAGCTGCAATTAAAATTTTAGATCTTCAACATAACTTTTTTTCTTTTCTATAGTAATGAGATAGAAAACAAAAAGAATGACCACAGGACGTGTTCTATGGGCTAGTTAAGAGTTAGCCTCCTCACCACAGAGAGCAGTCACATATTATAAGCATCACGCACAACAACCTAACTAGTTTTGGTACAAAGAACAATCAAGATTAATGCCTTAAGAATTCAAAGGCCTGAGAGAAAGGAAGCTACAGAACTTGAATGTTATACTAAATATCTTGGATGCTGAAGCCAAGCATGCCAAAGATTGAATACCATTATTTAAAACATCATTCTACTATGACTTTGAGGATGAACTGAATGATTACTCAGGAAAGGGTGAACATTGTTATAAACTATAAAGAGAAACAAGAGGTTTACGCCATAAAGTATGAAGTAAGAACACAAAGTATTTTTTAACAATGCGAGCTTACAGCTAGCTGGTCTTTGCCCTGCCAGGTAAAAATCAATTTCCAGTGATAATCCGATTTGACAATTCTGGAGTAAGTTATAGTGATTTGTATTGGAGGTGGGGAAGGCTGAGTGGTGAAGAGAGAAGAAAACACTGAAGTGAAACTACATTGATGGACAAGGAAAGAGGCTAAAGAGAATACAGGAAGGGAGGGGAAGTGGCCTATTAATAGTAAGAAAATAATAACCAGTGTGATTGAGCATTACATACTTTTTTTTTTAATTCTCAAACAACCATGTAAGATTAGAACCAGTGTTATCCCTGTTTGTCCAGTGAGCAAAGTGGTGTATAGAAAGGTTAGATAACTTGCTCCAAATCATACACCTGGAAAGTAGCAGAGGCAGAATTTAAGTCAACTTAAGTGCTTCGCCAATACATTGGGAGAAGAGACCTTAGGAAGCAAATGAGGGAAAAAACCATGAATTATAAAGATTCAGCAGCCTTTGTGAACTCAACTCCTTTTTACTTTGTGTAGTTCCTTTGTACTGTTTTAAAATGTAGCTGTATGTTTGAATTAAGGCTGTATAACAGTAGGTGAAGGATAAGAAAGGGTATTCCTGGAGGAAAAGTGAAGGCGGGAGCCGTCATGCCAGCTGGGAAGGGCAGTGGGAGACAGCAGGACAGCAGGGAGAGATGGGGGCAGGCTGAGGTGTGTGTGCCTGCAGGCACTCCTGCTGAGAAGAGCTAACCTATTTGCCAAAATACATACTACTCCTAGGTTTCATTTTCAAAGGTTTTTGGGAGAAAAAGGGATAGATGTAGAGAAGACTTTGCTAGAAAGAAAAGTGAAAATGATTTTCCAGTGGAAAGAACAATTTAAATAATTTATTCAAACTTCCCATTTTTTTAAGGTGAATGATATCTGTACGGAAATGCCATGTTGAGTATTTTCGTATAGTAAAATATATGGCAGATTAAAACATGAAATGCTATTGCACGTCAAGAGACTTTTCTTTTTATCACACTATAGAATTAGCTAGAATAATAATTTGTCTCAAGAATAATAAAATAGTTTCTATTGAGAATGGAAGGGTGTGCACTTCAGTATAAATATTTCAAAGATATTAAAAGTCACCATAAAAATAATTTTTAAGAATCTAGATCAAGAGTTTCCTTCAGTGGAAAATTATGCTAAATATTCTTCTGAATATAATAATTATATTTAACAAAACACAAAAATAAAACATTTAAAAAATTTCCCCTTTTAAACTGTTTAAAAAACAGTTCTATGTACAATATTTGCATTTAAGCTAATTTTATTTCCCAATTTCTGGAATGACTAAGTGTTTAACATGATAACAAAATGCTTTATGACAGAGGTTACTGTCCCATTTAATGCACAATAGAATGTATATGGCAGGTATTGCTGTAAAGAGGATGAATGATATACATTAGGAACTTTTAATTACTAAGTGTACAGAATTCAGGAGAGAAAATGATAATGTAGCCAATTCAGAGTGCATATAGTACATATGTCAACTAAAGTCATTTTCCACATTAGAAGAGAAATTCTGTCAGCATTAAAAAATGATTTGCACTCAATTACTGTGCTATGATAAAATCTACTGGAAGATTTAATAAAACTTGTTGCCTTTTCTGATTATATCACCAGAGATTTATTTTTAAGTAACAGAAATTAAACAGTAAAGTGCTGAAAAGAAATGGGGAATGTGAAATAGACATCACCATGAAAAACAAAAATGAGCAATTATATCTGTATCTACCGTATTTGCCGGCGTATAAGACGATTTTTTGGCCCTGAAAAATATGCCTCCAAGTGGGGGGTCGTCTTATACCCAGGTACACTTCAGATAGACTGCCCATAGTGCTTGCCCCGTGCCATAGTGGCCTCCCGATGCCCGCCCACTTCATTCCACATACCGTTCAGGCATCAGCAGCGCTGCTGGGTGTATGCTCGGCTGTTATGCGATTTTGCTGTTATGCGATTTTACCACACTCGCAAAATCGCACACAGCCAACCATATAACAAACTCTGTATTTTGAGTGGAAATGTTAGGGGGTCGTCTTATACGCCGAGTCGTCTTATACGCCGGCAAATACAATAATTAAATAAGCATTCCAGTTTCCAGAATTGTTGCAAAGAATAAAAATATAGAACTTCTCTGATGGCCAAAGAATTTTTCAAAGTACATTTTTACTTTATTATGTTTAATAATGATATACTCTTTACTACATTCAAGGTAAGAAAGAAATTATGGCTCACAAAGTATCAAATGTGATGTTTCTAAAACTGACTGCATTAGGCAAATTCTTCATATCAATTCACTGATCTCTTTTACTGAAGGATGCATTGGTTTGAAAAATCAAAGACTTACGTCATCCAAAAAATCAATCAGTGAAGATGAGGAAGAAGAAAAGGAATCCTATTTAACGAATACAGCAATAAAAAAATAGAAAATATGGATGAAGCAATTTAATCAGAACAAATAATAAATCAAAAATCTTGTAAAAACAATTGAAAGGCAAATGACATTAATTCAAATAAATAAATGAGAAAAGCAGTCACTGCATTGTTTCTCAAGGAATTCAGAAATTCACTAATTACTTTTTAAAAGTGATTCTTTTTCCCTTTCCCAAAGGAATGAAATATAGTTCACATACTGCACCCAAAATGTAATAAAATGAATCTCAAGACAAATCATCAATAATCAAATTTAAAGTAAGCATTTAGATAGTAACAACTAAAAAGTAAGACACAGAATCTCTGCCTCTAATTGTTCCCACTGGAATGTAAGCTCCTTGAGGGTGGGACTTTGTCTATTTGGTCGCTACTGTTTCTCCAGCACCTAGAACAGTGCCCTGCACAGAGATATATGATTACTTGCTGAATAAAGACATAATCACTAACTTAAATTTTCTGGGACAAAAACATACTTTATATTGTTAATGTTTTTTTAGCAAAGAATTTAAGTACCAAAGAATGACAGCCATACAATCACTATTTCATTAATATGGAATCTGCCTATTATGCTCTATGGAATACTTTTTTAAAAAACCATTCCTATTATATACTTCTGAAAAACTGAAACAATTTGGAACTAGAACCAGCACTGCCCTATTGTGAGCTTTGACATTTTCAATTGCTTTATACTGTGGCTCTATGCTTTAAAGAAAAAACAAGTGTCAAAATTATTTCAAAAGTTAGGATTTGTTCTGCACATACTGTTTTCTCAGGGGAAGAGGTAAAATTGCCTTTATATATTATAATGACTCTCATATTTAGACCTTCTTACATGTTTTCTTAAATACAAATGTGACTGTAGTTTCCATAAGAATGCAGAACATATTTCTTTCCTAATTTTTCCCCCCATATATAAGATTTGAGGTCCTCTTACGTGGGATGCAATAAAAGTTTTCTTGCAAGTGAATTTTAAATCACAAAGTGATTTTTAAATTGACCATGGAGCTATTTGAAAAGCGTAATACTTACTTCAAATTGATCCAGAGCATCGGCAGGCGCATTCAAAAATGCCAAGAAAGAATGCTGTGAGTCCTGGTGCTCTATACCTATAAGACAGCAGCAATGTTTTTTAAACTAGAACAATTAAAACTAATTTTCATGGATAGCCATTCCTTTCTGAATCTATTAAAAGCAGTTCACAAACTATGGTATTTTAAAGCTGATCAATATTATTAACTCTATGTATTTAAAAAACCAAATTACATTAAAGTTTCTTGGAATATCATGTAATAGTTAAATTATATCAGTCTCCATGAAACACTTGTTCTTGACTTGAGTTCTTAAATTTCTTTCTTTTCCCATATAGTAGTACATCATAAAAAACACATTAAATCTTTTGGTAGAATTGAAAGAATTTTAAAAATAGGGCCCTGATGATGTCTGATTTTTCTAAGCCAATTTATCACCAAACAAGGTTTCTGTTTTGTAATGCTCTTATCAAGAACATATCATGCACTACAATAAATAATCTTTGATAGGAAAATAATGCAGTGATTAAAACAAATGCATTTAATTATGAAATAAACTTGTCAAGGCCTCAATCTGGTTTCAGGTATTGTTTTATCGAAAGCATGAAGAATCAAAAACTTAGCTTTTCTCAGATGAATTTAAAAAATTTCTTCCATATCTCTTGCTACGGTATTAACTTTAAAATGAATAATTTCCAAAATAATTCTTAAAATATACATATAATGTTAAATACTAGGGAGGAAAAAGCTGAAATAACCACACACACATTTTTTATTTCCATTTCCTTAGGAACTGACATCAACTAATTTGTATGCTTTTCATATTACTCTCTAATAATGTACCGTAGTTGCCAGATAAGGCAGGATGTTCAGAAATTCATTCAGTCAATATTTATTGAGAGCCTATTATGTGCCAAACCCTGTCTAGATACTGGGGATATAATATAAATAATGCAAAACAAAAACAAAAATACCCTTGCCCTCATTATGTAAATATTACATTATATTATTTAAGTAGTATAGTACATTATGTTATAACACATAGTGAAATTTTATTCTGCTATGTTCAAAATCTAAATAAAAAGCTATGGGTTAACATGCTTTCATAAAGCAATGTGATAAACTTAAGTTTTTTTCTTTTGCAAGTTTACATCTATTCTAAAAATGATGCAGTCAAGGTCATATGGTGTGCTATAGTAAATGATACTGTGCATTGGTCTCTTTTCTATATAAACTGTCTTTAGGGCCACAAGTCCTCCATGTCTTATATTCTTTTGCCTTTATTCACTAAATAATATAGTTTCCTTCCATCCTTCATGTATAAAAACCCATTTCAGCATGATGCCTTGTGCTAATTTGAGTTCCTAATTTACTTTTTCTGGGTTCCTGCCTTTCCTGTTTATTAGGAAATTCAATAAACAAACATTTATTGCACATCATTACTTTTAGTGGCTTTTTTCACGTTAAGTCCTTTATGATTATCTTCTTTCCTCCACAATTTTAAAGCAGATGCAGAGACCCACCCTGCTTTACAATCACTGTATGTCACAAGGCTGGGAAATGATAGGAAAGCATGCAAGCAAAACATAAAAAGCCCATTAACCAGGTCACAGTCAGGAATACTGACTGTGTCAGGAAGTGAATTTCCAATAACTGCTTATAAGTGGATGCCTTCATTACGAAAATAACATTCTAAATTTCTTTTTATTAAATCTTCACATTATTAATACCCAAATTATGGAAAGTTAAGGAGTTCATGTAATAGAGCTATGGAGCACTCTGAGTTACTTTTCACATTAACAGAAAAATGTTCAAGTAACGTTTTCAAGAAAATGGGAATAAATCCTAAGAAATCCCACAGGGCAAACAATTTAACAATCAAACATGGAAGAAGACACTGAAATGCCAAAATAATCCTTCATCTTTAAACTGCCCTTTTAAAATGCTGAATTAGATTAAGCTTTAGTTATTTCATATTGTTTCCAACTACCCTGGGAGTGAACTCCCTGTAACATTTGAGAACAGTATAAAGTATATTATAAAATAATATTTTTTTCCAATCACGAAAATATTGCAAAATAGTTCATGGCACTGTGAAAAACAGATAAATCTATGGCAAAGTGAGTTTTTCTGTTACTATAAAATCTTTAAACAACGTAGGTTAAATAAAACAAAAGAACTCAGAAACTAGACTACCAAATATGTATGTATGTATGTATCACGTATACATACATATAGCCATAAATAAGTTCCAGAATTGCCTATGGAAACAATTCTTCCACCTACACAATAAGCGGATTCTTGTGTAATAAAACGTATTCACAGCAGAATATTAAGTCCTGATGGATGCAAAAAACATTCCCATACCCTTTTCAGATCTAAGCTCCTCAGTGTCCTTTATCAGTTGTTCAATTTCTGATAATAGTTCCAAGTTCTTCTTCTCTGAATCTTTTAGTTTACTTAAATAAGGAAAAAAAAGAAAAAATGTCATTATTTTTATTAATGGTTAGTGAGCCATCATGTATGTCATTGGACTTGTTTGGTTTAAATGTCATCACACTAAATGAGGGAACTGAAAACTACTGCAGGACGGACAAATCCGGCCTGTCACCTACTCTCGTGTCAAGTTTTCCAGAATGCAGGCAGGCTCATGCACTCATATATTGTCTATGGTGGCTTCGGCACCACAACACCATACAGAAAGAGACTCTATGGCCCCCAAATAATTACTATCTGGCTTTTTATGGAAAAAAGTTGCTGACCCTGAACTAAATTATTAAATTTCAAAGTCATAAAATCAAACATTAATTTTAGAATTCTCTTAGACTTCTTTTATAGAGAACCATGAAAGTAGAGCATATAGATGTTTGAAATTTTCAGTTTGACTCATATCCCTGGTACATGAACAAATGTACAAACTCCTCTGTTCTAGGCACAAGAAGAAAGATCATAATTAGTCCAAATTACAACACAGAGTATGACCTTCAGTAGCTCTTTATGCTGGGATCAATTCACATTCTCTAGAAAAGGTTTTATTTTCCATTTCCAATGCCACACTAGCACATTTAAGTAAAGCATACTTAATTTATGTCTAGATTATTTATAACAGGAATTTATAATTCAACTAGGCTGCCACATATTTGGCCTCTGATTTGAATCAAACATTAATGGCTGTAAGTTTAAGACTAAGGCTTCACTCACACCATTAAAACTGAATTTATGGGACTATATTTCTTTTCATAACTGAATATCTTTGGAACTTTAGGTCGTCCAAGCACCAAAAGGATTTTTCTATTTATATTTTTATTCGTAACATGGACTGTCTGTTGTTCCTCTATATCACATATATTGACTTATGCTTGAACCACATTTATATCCATTTCCAATTGAGTGAACATATTCATTAGCTAACTTTCCCAGAGACTGTGGAGGATATACATACTTTTTTTACACATAAAAGAACATAAAAAATGATTATAATTAAAATATATTATACCATTATGTAATTTACCATCAATACAACCTTCACTTGTAAATGATATATGGTATAGGCCAGAATTTTCAGATGGCTATATTTTGTTCTAACTCTATGTTGCATTTTTATACTAATATGATATTCTTGAACAAGAGAAAATTTGGGATTTAAGGGAATAAAATCTGAGAGTCAACTAAATTTTACAAATAAGGGGAAAAGAAAATAACAGAATATTAATTAGTACTATTGATTCCACTTTATGGGCAAGTCAGAGAAAAACAAGACTGTATTAAAATTGCATCACTGCCCACAAGGCTTGAGGACATCTGTTCATTTTCAAACCTTCTGGTCATCACTTAAAAAAAAAACTGATAGGTAGGAAACTAAACATGTAACTTCTCTCCAAATGCTTTTGGACCAATGTAGAAGTTGTTCTTGCGGGACTGTATTATTCCATCTTACCATTCTGTTATGATGTTAGATGCTTTCACTTTATTCAGCTCTTCCTGGATGGCCTGTTTGGCTCTTATTTCTGCGTCCAGAGCTGACTGCAACTCCAATCTAGCTGACATATCCAGTTTCGCAAAACGACGCATTTTCCAGGGCATATCCTATGAAATGATATGACTATGTTTTATCAGCTCCATTCCATTTCATTTGTAACATTTAAATTTGGTAATCCAAATGAGTTTGGAAACTACTTAAAAGCATCATCTTTCTCTAATAACAGAACAAAAACATTGCTTGTGAAAATATTTTTTTTCATTAAATTCAGAAATAACGAACAGACTCACATATAAGTGAGTATGCTTTTTATAATTACTACCAATAATGGCTAGCCATACAAATTACAATTAAGCAGCTATGTGTTATGATTTCCTAAACTAGAAAAGACTTGGACTAATTTCTCGTGAAAAACTTTATAGAAATCAGATTAAATAAATCCTAGACAAACTGACATAAGTACTCAGATTTATTGCAGTGTTTTCTAAGCCTCTCCCTCCCCTAATATGATAAACCTCTGGGCAGAATGGCAGCTTACTGTTGCTCGTGCACCCAAGCTGGAATTTCTTAATGCTTCTAATTCTTCAGTCATTTTAGAAGCTAAGGCCTGCAGATAGCCTCGTGCATCCTTTTCATCACTGACCCTACAATACAGAAAGACAGCGATACAATACAACAGTAAAACAAACAGAAGACCTTCAGTGAGATTTGTATTATTTTAAAGCATCATAAAGAAATAAGTGAAAATTGATAGAAATTTAAAGATGTTCTTAAATACCTCCTTTAAAGGTCTACCACAGTACTCTCTGTCAATAAGGGGAGAGGTTTACTGAACTGTTCAGTTATCTACAAATTAACGCTGGGTCTGCTTAGGAAAGTCCAAATTACTCATATTTGATAAATTGGTAAAACTTCACCTGTCAACCACAGAATTAACACTCTTTTAATCTAACATTAACCCCCCATGATTTCTAAAGAATACAAAGATTTCTCATTAATTGGATTCTGCCATTTTATGTTACAAAAACACAACATGCCCTTCTTAAAACTGAAGTACACTACATTTAGAACACTTAAAGTAGAACGTTCTGCAAATCAAGGTTGTAATGTAATAAAGCTCTTGTTTTCTAAAATGGTAAAAATCAAAGAAAAAATTAAAGTCTAGTGCAACTCAGTTTCTAGTTACTGCCTTAAGACTACCTTGCTGATGCAACTATTATGATTTTGGGTAGAGATGTTTTCAAATTATATTCACTAAGACAAATTCCACACATTAGAATTTCTCAAGAGAAAGTCTGCATTTTGTTACATCTCCTCCAAAACAAGGGATGCATCAGCATATGAAAATCTACAAAAGAATGCACTATTCTCAAGAATGAAAACCAATGGCACATAGAAAGCTATAATTCCACAAAGAAAAAGTTGAAATTTGCAATGCTCAAAAGCATATCCTAATACACTTTGGGGAAGACTATTTGCTTTGTGCACTCTGGTTGTTTACAAAGATAAAATTCAGGCCATTGAATAGCTATGAGCAAAAGTATATTTCAGGAGAATTAACATGTATCTGCGATGTATACAGCAGACAAGTTTAAATCTTGAGCCTTGCTTCGGCATCTTTAGAATTTAAACTCCTGAGGACTCAAGGGATGATGCACAGGCGGGATGCAAGATTTCATCACACTACTCAGAACAGTGCACAATTTAAAACTTAAGAATTGTTTATTTCTGGAATTTTCCATTTAATATTTTTGGACTGTGGCTGAAACCATAGAAAGTGAAACCGCGGATAAGAGGGGATTGCTGAAAATCACAAGTTTCCAAAACCCTGTTTTGGCATTCCTTCATTGTTTAATAATACCAGACTAGAAACTACAAAGAGCCTCAGACTCTTGACCTTTATAAGCTTGGACAGAATATCTCAGGGAGTTAACTTTCAAGTAGGTGAGCACTCTGAGAACAGGGAGTATATCTTTTACTTTTAGCCTATTAGGTATTTAACAATTTGTTATCTAACGTTAAGTCCATTTCTAAACAACAGCTTTTATGCGAAGTAGCTTCCTTGTATTTCTGATTTCTTCCGCATATTTCACTTGAATATGAAAAGTGTACAATGAGTGTCTTGTGGCATCATATAAAAACTTTCGCCTTCATCCTTTCCCCCAAGCCTTTCCAGAGTCCACACTGAAAGCTGCCTTCCTTTACCAGAACCACTGCCCATTCCATCCGAACCCTCATTGCCAGTTCCTGGCAAAGTCAGTGGTCCAGGATCTCAGGCTTTGGCCAATTCGGCTTTGTGTTCTGTAAAGTCATTCCAGCAACCCCTTAATTACAAATTTGGTTATCTAATAATGGATTTACAAATAAATAGTCATAGTTTTTGATACAAGCTTGGCTCAAGATTAAAATGGTTTTTCTTCAGAAATGTCATCAAACTTGATGACAAGGACATAAATTAAACATTAAATGAACCATTAACTATACTGTTTGGACCACAACCCAATTTCCACAGCAGTGGCATTTTCCTCTAGATATTCATTGAATAGTCACATTATTAAACCAATAATAAGTTCACATAAGATCTCTACAGTTAAGCCAATATCAAGATACTTGAGTCATTTGGGTAAGATTACTTAAAGGCAGTGTTTATTCACTTTTGATTTTATTTAAGAAGGAAGGCATTAATCTTGTACAAGTAAGGAAAACGGAAAAAATACTAAAGAACCAAAATAAGAGCACAAGAAACTAAAATTTCCACCAAATGACTGGTCTATAAACATATGAAGAACCTAGCTGTTTTCAGATAAATTAAACAATCATGATTTGCCAAAAGAAGTAAAACACTTAAAAAGTAAATTAGAAAAGTTAAACCACTTATTTTCATTAGAAAATAAAATCCCCATTGGATTCCACTTTCTTCATGTATTATAAAAATATACAAATTTTCTTGGCTGTAAAAAGCAACGAAATCTTACCATTTGTGACAGACAACATGAGTAGACCTAGAGGAAATTATGCTAAGTGAAGTATGTCAGACTGAAAGAAAAATACCATATGATCTCACTTATGGAAGCTAAAGAACAAAATAAACAAGCAAACAAAACAGAAACAGACTCATAGGTGAGTACAAACTGATGGTTGCCAGAGGAGAGGGAAGTGGGGGAGCTGGGTGAAAAAGGTGAAGGGGTTAAGAAATCCAAATTGGTAGTTACAAAACAGTCATGGGGATATAAAGTACAGCACAGAGAATATAGTCAATAATGTTGCAACAATTATGTACAGTGCCAGGTGGGTCTTAGACTAATTGGGGGGAGTCACTGCATAAGTTATATAAATGTCTAACCACTATGCTATACACCTGAAACTAATATAAAATAATACTGAATGTCAACTATAAAAAAAATAACTTAAAAGGTAATTATTCTTTTCAAGAACAGTTACTAAAACTAAACTGTAACCATTTAAAGTTTTAAAAATGCTATGTGTGAATCCATCTGTGATACTTATAAAAGGTGATAGACAACACAACATTTTCAGCGTCTAAATGTTTCTCCGGGCTTTCTCTTTCTTAAAATAATCACAAATACAGCAATTTTGATCTTAGAAGGGAACATCCATAGATAGTGAACGACTTTCTTCAATTCTTTAAGGACCAACTGTCTTAGGAGAGAATAACGTTTTCCTTTCTTAGAAAGAAATACCAGGTTTCAACGGTGCTGTGTAAAAGCTGATATAGATATCTGTTGGAGTTAGGGAACAGAGGAACATAACAGTAAACAGCAGTAATAAATAACAGTGATGAAGCCATGCTTTTAGAGTAACCTGTTTCATAGTAAAAAATAACGTGTTAGTCACCTCCTGTCAGTCATACTAACTTGACCATATATCCAGAAACACTAAACACACATGTAAGAGTACTCACCACTGAATGATTTCTGTGATTTGGGCTTCCCAATGTGCAACTGATTCTTTCTTGTCTGCGAGATCTTTCACCTCCTCTTCTAACTGCTGGTTGCGCATGCTTAAGTTCTCATACAAGGTGGTGAGCTGAAAGGCAGTTTTAGGACACGTATGATTTTTAGGAACAGCAATTCAAACTGCCCAAATCCCTCTTGTTAAATCTTAAATGCACCATATTCTACTCTAAAATGCTTGTCTTCCTGATTCCTTACTATTTCATACCCTACTGGTCACTGAAGTTGGAAACATCAAGTACTCTGCCTTTACTTCTTTCCCTCACTCTGTACCCTGAATTGGTTCTATTTGTGAACATTCTCCATTTGCCTGAAGAACTTCTCAATTCTAGTGGTAACAAGGTGTCTGATGTCTCTATGTCATCCTCTTCAAAAACAAGCAACGCCCCACCCCCTACCCCGGCCCCCCTGCAAAATTTCAAGCTGATGTAAGTGATTTACCATGAGCCCATCATCCCACCTCAGCAAGTATCACCACCATGTCGATCTTAATTCATTTGTACTCCTGTGCTCTTAACAGTCCTCCTGTATCATTCTGAAGCAAATACCAGACACCATGTAATTTTATCCACACAAATTTCTGTGTACAGATATCGCTAGAAAATGTTCTCTCTTTTTAAATATAACCATAATATTATCATACTTAATAAATTTAACAAGTTTCCTAATATCATCACATAGGTAGTAATTGTTCAAATTTCCAGTTATCTCAAAATATCAAAGAACAGTTCATTAAATAGAATCCTCATACCAACAAGTAAACATAGTTTAATTAGGTTGTTATATCTTCCAAGTTTCTTTTATTTATGGTTCCTATGTTAGCCCATTCAGGTTGCTCTAACACAATAGCATAGACTGGACAATTTAAACATTCATTTCTCACAGTTCTGGAGGCTGGGAAGCCCAAGGTCAAGGTGCCAGCAGATTTGGTGTCCGATGAGAGCCTTCTTCCTGGTTCACAGATGGCCATCCTCTCCCTGTGTCCTCACATGACAGAAGAGGTGAGGGAGCTCTGTGTGGTCTCTTTTATAAGGACACTAATCCCATTCATAAGGGCTCCACCTTCATGACCTAATCCCCTCCATAAGGCTACACCTCCAAATACCACTACATTGGGGATTAGGTTTCAATATACGAATTTTGGAGGGACGCAAACATTCAGTCCATAGCAGCTCCCCAGCAACGTTTTTATTTTTCTTGCAAATTGTTGTTCAAGAAAGTAGATTGTTTGTCCTGTAGAGCTTCCTACAGACCAAATTTTTGCCTTCATCTTTTTAACAGTCTAGGTGTACAGTGATTTTCCTTCAGCACCTTGAAAATGTCATTCCTTTATATTCTGGGTTCCATTTTATTTTCTGCTGGAAAGTCACCTTTCAGTTTAAATTTGCTCCTTTGAATATAATGTCTTTCTTCTCTGGCTGCTTTTAGGATTTTCTTTGGTGGTTAGTTTTCAGCAGTTTTTCAATGATGTGCCTCAGTGGAATTTAATTTCTATTTATCACCTTTAGGGTTTGTGGCATTTCTTGAATTTGTGGTTAAATGTTTCTCATAGGTTTTGGAAAATTACCGGCCATAAACTCTTCAAATATCGCTTCTGCCAGTCTCTCCTCTCCTTTTTGGAAAGCATGCAAATGTCAGACCTTTTCATCATGTCCCCTATGTCTTATATCCTCTTTTATGTATTACCATCCTTTTTAATCGCTATCCATAGTTTAGCCCGGAAATTGTTTTACTTACCTATTCCTTTCTTTGGCTGTATCCAACTTGCTACTAAAATCTTCTATTAGATATTTTGGTTATTTTTCACTTCTAGAAATTCTACTTGACTCTCCTGTATAGATTCCAGTTGTCTGCTGAAATTCTTCATCATGTCTTCTATTTTCTTGAACATATCATAGTTATTTTAAAGTTCACTTATGATCATTCCAATAGTGGAAACTCCTGTGGGTCTATTTTATACTGACTGCCTGGTTTTCTTTTCATTTTTTTCTTTTCTTACTTTGTTTTTGCTGTTATATTTTTTTCTCTTAGTTTTCAGTTTGCCACATATTTAACTCATGAAAATTTTAAGAGATAATTTGAAATTCTGTACAACACTTTCCTATAGAGTATTTACTTTTGACTTTCACAGGCATTTAGACTACAGATAAAACAGGGATTGAATTACTTAGAGGCTGGGTTTCAGTCACTGAAAGGTCTCATCTCTTTCTGATTCACCCTTATTCCTAAAATATAGCCTTTCAATGAGTCCAGTTGAAAGCCTGAAATGAACACCAGGATCCTGGCACCTTGGTGGGCACTGCAATTCAGTGTTTATCTCTCCAAACTTGAGAGACTGTGGAATATTGTACTCAGCTTCCTGGATTCTGAGCTACTGCTTTCATATCAGCAAATGCCTCCAGAGGAAAAGTGCCATGGAATGTGGGGCTCACCCCTCACTACTGCTCTCCATAGGGTATTAGTTAAGTCTTGGCTGCTTTCTTATCTCTCCAATGCCTTCCTGCAGATGAATACTGTAAGAAGTATTCCTACAGTATTAATTTTTTAAATCCAGCTTTATGGATCTTCTTGGTGAGGTGGTGGCTAACCTGGCATAGTCAGAAGCAAAAGTTCTTGTTTTATTTTCTAAAAATTCATAAAATATTTGCATATAATTTTTATTTCATGGCTACATTTTTTCTGATAAATGATCTCAATCTGCCATTAGTTATTACTATTCTTTTATCCCTTTTGGTATGTTTGTAGAGATACTGTGCTAGTTTCTTTCTGATTACTCAGCTTGAAGGAAGTGAGTTTTTCTGAGAACTATTTACAAAAGGTTTGTGGAGGTAAGGGGCTGTGTGATGATTAATTCTTCATGTCAACTTGACTGGACCATAGAGTGCCCAGACATTTGGTCAAACCTTACTCTGGGGCCAGCCGAGTGGCTCAGTTGGTTAAGAGCTCGCTCAAGAGTTTGAGCTCTAAGCAAGCAACAGCGGTTCGAGTCCAGCCCGAGCTGAGCAGCCACTGAGCTGCCAACAGGTGGCAGGATGGCTCAGCTTAAAAAAAAAAAAAACCAAAAAACAAAAAAAACCCAAAACAAACAAAAAAAACAAACCTTACTCTGGGTGCATCTGTGAAGGTGTTTCTTGATGAGATTAACATTTGAATTGGCCAAATGAGTCAAGCTGACTGCCCTCCCTAATGTGGGTGGGCTCCATCCAATCAGTTAAAGGCCTGAATGAAACAGAAAGGCTGACCCTAGTGAGTAAGAGGTCACTCCTCCTACCTGACGACCCTGAAGTTTAGACACTGAGTTTTCTTGCCTTTGGAATCTTACTGAAACAGTGGCTCTTCCTGGGTCTCGAGCCCGTCAGTTTTTGGACCGGAACCACATCACTCACTCTCCTGGTTCTCAGGCCTTTTGGACTCGGACTGGAACTACATCATCAGCTCTCCTGGGTCTCCAGCTTACCGAATGCAGATCTTGGGGTCTGTCAGTCCCCACGATCATGTGAACCAATTCCTTACAATAAGTATCTTTATACATACATATGTCTATGTATGTATGTATGTGAGAATGAGAGAGTGAGAGAGTGAGAGTGAGAGAGAGAGAGAGAGAGAGAGAGAGAGAGAGAGAGAGAGTGTGTGTGTGTGTGTGTGTGTGTGTGTGTGTGTGTGTATCTCCTTTTGGTTCTGTTCCTAATACAGGCCAAAACCATGTTCTAAATCTGGGGTCTGCCAAGTTTCCAGTAAAGAACGAGAAAGTAAATATTTCTATCTCTGTGCTCTCTACAATATCTTCTTCTTTTTAAAAACAATCATTTTAAAATGTGAAGACCATTCCTAGTTTGGGGTCATACAAACAGTGTGAGGGCCAGATCTGGCCAGTTTGTCAATCCCCCAGTCTAAGTCTATCGGGGACTCTCCAAACGACCCTGGTGTTTCTGATGTGTGTTTAAATCTCTCCTTCTGGGAGAGATGGGCAGTTCTGGCACAAGTCACAATGCAGTTTCATTTCTTCCCCTCTGCCTAAGGAATAAATTGCTTTATACATATACAGCTGTAATTCCCTACTTAATCCTGCCTCCAATCTCATTTTCTTCTCAGAAGGAAATGGAGTACAGAGAATCTATCACTAGCAACACAAACCCGTATCTGCTTATTGAGAACAAGAGATTTAAGTTTTGTACTTCAGAGTATGCCATTTATCTCTGAAAATGTATTTTACCAGCTATTTTCTTTTAATAGATTTACTGAGGTATAATTCACCAGTGTATGGATCGATGATTTTTAGTGAGTTTAAACAGTTGTTCAACAAGCACTACAATCCAGTTTTGAGACACTTACAATACCTGAGAAATGTCCCCCATGTTGGTCTGCAGTCATCCTGGACACCACCCTGAGTTCCAGACATTACTGATCTGTTTTCTGTAGCTACAGTTTTGAAATTTAATATCAATGAAATCATATCATATGCAGTTTTTTGTATCAGGCTTCTTTTATTTATATTATTGAGGTCCTACCATGGTGTCACATGTATCAGAAATTCAGTCCTTTTTACAGCTGAGTAGTATTCTACTATACCGATATTCATAGACTTTATCCCTTCACTAGTTGATGGACATTTGTACTGTTTCCAGTGATTTCCATTATTCTGGATAATGATGCTATGAACATTCATACACAAGTCTTTAAGGGACTATGTTTTCAATTCTTTCGGATAAATATCTATGAGAATTTCAGGGTTATATAGTAAGTGTATGCTTAACATTTTGAGAAATTTTGGAACTATTTTCTAAAGTAGCTATATCATCTTACACTTCTGCAAGCACTGTGAGTTCCAGTTCCTCTACATCCTTTCCAACAGTTGGTACGGTCACTCTTATTGATTATACTCATTCTTGAGGGTGTACAGCAATACCTTACTGTGGTTTTAACTTGCATTTTCCTAACGACTAATGAATGATAATTGAACATCTTTTCATATGTTTATTTGTTATTCATATATCATTCATGAAATATCTATTCAATTTTCCCCATTTGTTTGTATGATTTATTATGGAGTTTTAAGAGTCCTTTATATATCCGAATATAAGTCTTTTATCAGATAAATTATTTGTAAATGTTTCCTCCTCATATGTGCATGTCTTTTCATTTTCTTCATGTTGTCTTTAAAAGATGACTTCCAATTTATCATTATTTTTCTCCCATGAGTTCTGCTTTTAATATCATACCTGTGAAATCTTTGAATAACCCGAAATCACACAGATTTTCTTCTCTGTTTATCTCTTATATTTCAGTTTACAATCTACTTTGAGTTAATTTTTATATATGGTATGAGGTAAGGATCTAAGTTAATATTTTGCACATGGATATCCAATTCTTCCAGCACCATCTGTTGAAAAAATTGTCCTTCTCCCATTGAATTGCCTTGGCACTTTTCTTTTTTTTAAGCTGAGCCATCCTGCTACCTGTTGGCAGCTCAGCGGCTGCTCAGCATGGGCTGGGAATTGAACCACTGTTGGTCAGAGCTCAAACTCTTGAGCGAGCTCTTAACCAACTGAGCCACTTGGCCGGCCCTGCCTTGGCACTTTTGCTGAAAATCAACTGACAATAAATATGAGGGCTTATTTTTAGATTCTTTACTCTGTTCCATTATATAGTCTTTTGATTTCTACAGATTTATAGTAAGTTTCGAAATTCTGTAGTATAAATCCTCCAACCTTTGTTTTCCCCCCCGAAATATTTTGGCTATCACAGGTCTTTGTATTCTCATATAAATTTAAGGATAAGCTTGCCAATTCCAACAAGAAAGCCTACCAGAATTTTGATAGGGCTTTCCCTGAATCTATAGATTAGGAAGAACTGCCATCTTAACAATACTGAGTCATCCTATCCATGAACATTTGTTTAAGTATTCCTTAATTTAGCTCAGTAGTATTTTGTAGTCGTCTTCCTCTGGTTAATTCCAAGAACTCCGAAATGATTGTTTTTGACAACAGTCCACTTGGAAACTTTTTTTCTTGAGAGGATTCATCAGTCTTCTCTTCATGTCGGCACAGCCATAAGTCTACCAGTTGTTTTTGAGAAAGTTTTTTGCAGATACAGTGTCTTCATAATTCCTACAACACATCCTTTTTTGATTACCATTGCTTTTGACCACCCTTCCAACTAATTTGTGGTGGGGGTTTCAGCTGGACATTTGTGAGAGAAGGAAATGTAGATTTTGTACTGCCATGTTACAACAGTTACAAGTAGTTTTAAAAAGATTTGTTTAGTATTATTCTGAAAGAAGTTAATCTTTTTCATTATTACTGAAAAAAAGCAGGGACTCTGAAACCATGCTATCTATGTTCATATCCGATTCTGCCACTTCCTAGTTCTGTGATTAGGATAGAAACTTAATCTCCCTTAGCCTCAGTCTCCTCATATATAAAATGTAAGAATAGGGTATACCTTAGAGAGTTATTGTGAGAAGTAAATGTATTATATAAAGTAACTCAGAAGAGGACCTGCACATAGTAAATTCCACCTAAGTATTAGTTCATTTTGGTTTGGGAATGAGAAGGTTTTCCTATTAAAACATTAACAAATCTGGCTTATAATAATTATAGGACTGCATAGGAATATGGAAACATGCTCATAACATTTTAAGTGAAAAGGCAAATTCAAAAATGGCATACGGGACCGGCCGAGTGGCACGTTGGTTAAGAGCTGGCTTGGGACGCCAGCTCTGAGCAGCAGGGCCCCGGTTCGGATCCCACATGAGGGCCAGTAACACTCCCTCAATTCCCCAATAAAATCTTAAAAAAAAAAAAAAAAAAAAAAAAAAAAAAGAACGGCATGCATATATAATTACAATTATGTAATAATATACATACAAACAAAACCTGGAAAGAAATATGTAAAATTAAAAGAGCTGTTTTGTGGTGATGAGATCATGAGTAACTTTTATGTTGAATATTTTCCATATTTTTTGTAACTTTTTTTTTTGGTAAAATATATGGCTAATTTTATTTGCAATGTTATCTTTGATCAAAAAGTAGAACTTAGCCTTCTGAAAATAACAAACTTTTTTTTCTATTTCCTTTTTAATTTTTATTTTTGGAGTTAAAAAATGTGAATGTGAGAATGTATTAGTTACAAAAGTTATATAAGTTTTAAAATTAACATAATAATAGCTTTTTAGCTTCTATATCTAAAATTCTGTTGAGAAGGAATCCAGTTCTTTTCAAAGCTGGTTCCCAATGGAATAGTTGGTGTATCAGTGGCAAAGGTATTCTTTGGTTATCCCTCATGGGGAAAATACCCAATTCACACCAACCCAGAAAATGAATAAATAGAAAGAAACAGTGGCGATAAGCAGCTAGGTGGACTGAGAGTTAAGCGACAGAAGCAAAAGCTGAATAAAAGGAGCAAAAATGGACAAAAGGTTCAAATAGAAGCAGAAGCCCCAAATCCTTCCCTATTTCTCCAGGAATAAATACTTTCTTGTTATCATTTGCCATTAAATACTTGCCTACCATATGAATTTGCTTTCAAAGTTCTACACAAAGTTATACTTCATCATATCTTTCAATTTAGCAAGGTAATGTTTATTTTTATAAACATAGAACATCTAGTGTGTGCTCAATGAATATAAATGAGATTGAATCACTTACCTTATCAAGTTCACTTGTCAGTTTTTTATTTTCTTCAGTTAGTAATACTTTTTCTCGTTCATACTGCTGTTTGAACTCATTTTCAAATTCTTCCCTTTCACTTTGACTAACACAATTCAAAACATAAAGAAAAATAATGGAATTGAATTACAGGTAAAATAATGGTGTCCCAGATTAGCTATTGTACCATATGCTTTATTCTGAAAAGTCACTTAGATCTTGATTGTCCCAAATTCCAATCCTTTCCCTTAAAATTAAAAGTCACAATCGTTTTCTTTTAAAGAATAGATTTATCTATTTAATAACATCTTCATTTTTCATTTGAAAATCTGAGGAAGACATCTCTGATTTGCAGACTTCCTTATGAGTTCACCTTATTTAGTTGCGTATAAACTAGAAAGTATGGGGAGATGAGGAGGTTAGGGAAAGAGAATATAGGGACCCCAATATGATTCCTTATACTCAGCTCTAAATTTCATAGAAAATTCACAATTACATTTCCAACAGCTCTCTCAATCACTCAGCCCCTCCTTCCTTCTTACCTAAGTACCAACCTACCTACACATAGACACACATATACAACTTTAATATTATAAAATTTATTTAAAATGATAGTTCTGGGGGGCAGAACTGATTCACCCCTAGAGGCAAACACAGTCCTAAGAGACTTCTAAAAACCTCCTAAGGGAGCCAGGGGAATCAGCTTTTGGATAATGAGATACAGAAATGTAGACAAAGAGGCTTATAACGACAGCGGTTTAAAAAGGAGGATGTTAACAGAAAATGAAATTCAATGTGGATGAATTCCAGGTAATTTTATATGATTTCTCCCAAACCAACAAAGAATATAACTAATGGTTGATTTAAAAAATGTAATCTTAAAAATTCTTTACACCACTAAACTATTAAATATAAATTAAATTACAATATAAATAATAAATTCCAGGAAAAGAAACCATCCTGTGTCCAAGTAAATGTACCACTTTCCTTATTATCTACAGTCAAAATGTGAAATGTTGCTATGTTTAAGAATCTTTCTTGATTCAGAAGCAACTTCAAAGAAAAACAACAAAAACATAAAAAATTACAAAGAAGCCTCCTTTCAGAAAAATATGTACATGAATAAACTGAGCAAAATTTCTGTGTAAAATCTTTCTTTTCTCCTATTAGCATTAAACAAAGCTAAATTTTTCCCTTATTAAAACAAAATCAACTCTCCCCTAAACTCTCTGTCATACTCCATTTTTCACTTTCTCTATGTTCCCATTCACTGGTAAGTAACCATCTTGAAATCTAGAGTTGGCTGTATCCACTTTCTCGTCGCCTAACAGTTTCTCACCACACCAAAATCTGGCTTTTGCCACCACCACCTCAAAGAAACTGTCCTCTCAACACTGACCACTGTCCTAATTGTTATTACATGCAGTCTACTGGCTACCTTAACAGCGTCGTCCATTCCCTCCTCCTGAATGTTACCTTCTCTTGGCTTCAGCGATACCACTCTCTCCTGATTTTCAGCTGCCTCTGTGAATCCCCGTCCATCCTTCCCAGAGGTGCCAGTGTTCCTCGGTACTCTGTCTCGGGTGTCAACTCTTGTCTTTCTACACATTTTTCCTGAGCTGTCTCATTTACTACACTACTGATTTCAATGATCACCTATTATGCTGACGAACTCTCAATCTGCATCGGAAGCTGTTCTGGGCTTCAAACTGCTGACTTGGTATCTCCACAAAGTTGTCTCCCATGCACCTTAAGTTCAACATGCCCAACTCAAGACAGTTCGGCACATAAACAAGCTCCCATCTCCCTCTCTGCTTCCTCTGCGCCCATAAACTCTTACTTCCTCTTCTCTTACTATAGGGAAACAACATAGCTAAGGCCAATCCATTCACTTAGGCACCTGCACAAGGACACTGCTCAGGCACTTTCCCTCTCTCCTGAATCACCTGTTGGATCATTTCTGTCAGATCACAAGCATGGTGTTATTTCTACCATCTAAAGAGAAGGCAAAATAACTTCTCTTGAGATAAATTTCTCCTCCAGCTACTACCTCATTGCACTGTTTGCTTTAATAATAAAAGGCTCCAAGAAATAAGTGTATCTATACTCTGTCTCCAATAGCTCTCCTTCAAGTTTTTGGATCTCACTGTGTGTGGGGGGAGGCGGGGTTGGCCCCTACTATTCCACTGAAATCGTTCTTATCAAAGTCCCCAATGACCTTCACATTGTTAAACTCAACTGCCATTATTTGGACCATGTTTTATTTTATTCAGACCTCATCTCATTTGACATGTGGACAATTTTGACATGTTTTCATCACATGGCTTCCATGGCACCAAATTTGCCTGGTCTTCTTCCTATCACTCTTGCTGCTCTTTCTCTATCTACTTTGCTGTTTCTTCCTTCTTTTCCAACTTCTAAAGATGGGAGTGCCCCACAGCTTAGTCCTAGAAGCCTCTTTTCTATCTGTACTTACTCACTACATGACCTCATACAGTCTCAACACTTTAAATATCATGTGACTAATAAATCCTCCCAGGATTTTATTTCTAGCCCTGAAATCAGGCTGGTCCACGTGATGGCCTACTTGACATCTCCACCTGAATGTCTAATAAGCATCTCAAACATACCTTGTTTAAAATGAGCTCCTGATAATACTCCTATCCCAAACGTGCTTCTTAGCAATTAGGAAAATATAGTTACCATGTAGTCTTATCCATATGGTAACTATATTTTCCTAATTGCTAAGGCCAAAAACCTTAGTATCATCCTTGATACGTCTTTCTTCCTCACTCCATATCTAGTCCATCAGCAAATACCATTATCTCTACCTTTAAATAACACTGGAATTTGAACACTTCTTCCCATCAATTCTGCTAGCCTCCTAGGCCCAAGACACCATCATCTTTTACCTGGATTACTGCAATAGCCTTCTAAATGGTTTCACTACTTTTTCTCTCATCTATTGTAATTCAGACTATTCTTAACCCAGTAGTCAGTGTAATTCTCTCAAAACACAAGTCAGTAGTTGCCAATTTGCCACTCAAAATCCCTCAATACTTCCCTTCACTGGTTTTACTCAGAGAAAATAACTAGAAGTCAACTGAACTTGATTTAAAAAGCCTTACACGGTCTGGCCCCCATTACCTCTCATACTCACCTCACTATTCTTTCCCCTTAACTCTACCTCTGCCACACTGGTCTCCTCATTATTATTTTTGATAGACTTTATGTTTTAGAAAAGTTTTCGATTCACAGCAATATTGAGAGGAAGGTACAGAGATTTCTCATGCACCTTCTGCCTCCACATAGGCACAGCCTCCCCACTATCAACACCCCCTCCAGAGGGGTACGTTTGTGACAATCGATGACCCTACGCTGACACATCATTCTCACTCAAACGCCATAGTGGACATCAGGGTTCACTCTTGGTGGTGTAGTCTTAGGGTTTGGACAAGTGTATAATGACATCTATCCACCACTACAGTGCCATATGGAGTAGTTCCTCTGCCCTCAAAGTCCTCTGTGCTCTGCCCGCTCATCCTGCCCTCTCCCAGTCCCTGGCAACCACTGAGCTTTTCATTATTGCCAAAGCTTTGCCATCTCATTTTCTAAGAGACTTGTTCTTCTCATATAGATACATCCATAGTGATCCCTCCCCGCCTCCGTCTTCAGTCCTCGCCGAGACGTCACCTTCTGCGTCACTTCCCCTGACCATCAGCCTGTACATGTAATTGAATCCTCCCCCTTAATCCTTCACAGCCCCATCCTCTGCCTCCTTTTGTGTTCCTGGCATCTATCATTATCTAACATGTTCTCTATTTTAATTATTTTGTTTATAGTCTTTTATCATAACTAAAGGAAAGCTCCTAGAGGACAGAGGTTTTTGTCTGTTCACTGCTGTGTTCCCAGTGCCTAAACAGTGTTTTACACATAGTAGGTTCTAACACTTTTGTTGAGTGAATATACCAAACTGAATAAGCTTAGGCTTCCAATATATAAGTTGAGAATGACAATAACATACATTCAGTTGCCTAAAATCTAGAAACCTGAGTATCACTGATCACTTCTCCTGCTCCTCCTTTTTCACATCTGGTCATTATGTCCTCTGAGTTCTGTCTTCTCAGTGGACCTGTGAATTCATCCCCTCCTTCTCTGCGTCTTCACTATTACTACCTAAGCCGCAGCAACCTCGTCTGTCACAGCTGGATTCCTATCACAGTCTGCTCCTTCCAATCCATTCCCCCCAGAGTCAAGAGTGATCTTTTAAAAATATAAATATAATCACATCATTTGCCTTCCAATAAAGTCCAAATTCCTTCCACTCCTTCATGATCTTGCTTGTTTCCTTTTTTAGCCTCATTTCTAACCACTCATCTTTTTGTGTTTTTGCCATAACGAACAGCTTTTATTTTCTGGATGTACCATGCTGCCCTTCTCCTCTAGATCTTAGCACCTTCTGCCACCTCTGCCTGGACACTCCACCACAGCCATGAATTTCTTTGGTCTTAACTTAGAAATAATTTCGTTCAAAAACTACATGTACTGAAGTTATCTTTTGTGCCTCTTCTAAGGGTGCTCCTAACATACCCCATTTGCTTTGCCATCATGCTGTATTGTCATTGTCTACTTACCAATCTTGACTTTGGTCTTCTTGAGGACTGGAATGTTTATTGCCTATGTATCCCCAGTCCCTGACACATAACAGGCATTCAATAAATATGTATTAGAGGAGTAAATAACTTCATTCTTACCTCTCTCTCCTGTTTTTTTCTAATTTGTCTTTCAAAATCATAATTTCTTTGTTCAGAGCAAGTTGCTGGCCTTCTGAGTCATGTAGCTCTTTCTTCAGATTTTTAATTTCATTTGCATGTATTCCTTCTCTTTTGGATAATTCTTCTTCATAAAAGATACTTTTCTTTTCCAAATCAGTCTTTAATTTAGTTATCTCTTGCTGATGTTCTATGCTGTATACTCCTGGTGAGTAACTAATTTGTTTTTGCTACAGAAATAACAACAAAAGATTAGTTCAATTACAAGAATAAAATATGAACTAATAATATAAAGGACTGTTCATATAGCTAAACATTATTTTGTAGCTCACATTAAAGTAATACTTTCTATTAACCTTTTGTCTTTTATATGTTGCAACTTTTTCTTAGTGTATATTTCTTTATTGTGTATTTTACAGTGTTCTTCACACCAAGATAACATATTTGTCTGTATTTTCTGCTGATACTTAATTATTTGTTGTACACTTAGAATTTTAATTTATATACAATTATAGTTGGTATAAGTGTGAGGGAAAAACCTAACTGAATCTTGTTTCTGATGTGGAACCAATAAAAGGTAATAAATACATTTGTGTTTTTAAAAGATTAAATTGGGGGAGGGGATGGTAGAGCTAGAATGTACAAAAAGAAAAGGGGGGCAGTCTTCCGCAATGGTTCAGGGAGAAACAACTACGGTCTAATCTAATATATTCAATATTCACTCTAGAAAAAAATGATAGGTCTCTGCATTTAAGTAGGGGCATTAAGGAGGAGAAATTTGGTTGAAAGCCATCTTTTTAGAAATTAGGTTGATATATACTCTCAGCAATAAGGGAGAAAACTCCCTCCCTCCTTCCCTTTTTAAATTTTAGCCATCGTAGTAGGTACAGAGTGGTATCTTGTGGTTTTAACTTCATTTGCCTAATGACTAATGATGTTAAACATCTTCGTGTGCTTACTGGCTATTAAAATATCTTCTTTGGAGAAATGTCTATTTGCCCACTTTTGATTGGGTAGTTTGCCTTTCTGTTGTTGAATTGCAGTTCTTCCTATATTCTGGGTATCAAACCCTTAGCAGACATTTGATTTGCAAATAATTTCTTCTGTTCTTCAGGCTGTCTTTTCACTTTCCTAAAAATGTCCTTTGATGCAATGAATACACATTTTCATTTTGATGAAGTGTGATTCATCTATTTTATCTTTTGTTGCTTATGCTTTCAGTGTCATATCTAAGAATCCATTGCCAAATCCAAGGTCATAAAGATTCACCCCAATATTTTTTTCTAAGAATTTTATGGTATGTTGATCCATTTTGAGTTAACTTTTTTATATGGTGTAAGGTAGGGGTTAAAATCCATATCTGCATGCAGAAATCCAGTTAATCTGGCACATGCGTACAAGGGCCTATTCTTTCCCTACTGAGTAGTACCTACATCAAAAATCAATTGGCCACAGATGCATGAGTTCATTTCTGGACTCTTTATTCTAATGGTTTATATTTTTATTTTGGTCTATATTTCCATTTTTATTGCCAGTACCACACACTCTTTACTACTGTAACTTCATAGTAAGTTTTGAAATTGGGAAGTGTGAGTCCTCCAATTTTCTTTTTCTGTTTGGCTGTTTGGGGCCACTAGCAATTCCATATGAATTTGAGGACTGTATTTTCCATTTCTGCAAAAAAAGGCTGTTGGAATTTTAATAGGGATTGCACTAAACCTGTACATCACTTTGGGCAACAATGCCATCTAATCAATATTTTTTAATATATCAATTTTATTGGAGAACAGTGTGTTTTTCCCAGGACCCATCAGCTCCAAGTCAAGTTGCTGTTTTTCAATCCAGTTGTGGCACGCGCAGCTCAGCTCCAAGTCCAGTCGCAGTCTACAATCTAGTTGTGGGGGGCACAGCCCACCATCCCATGCAGGAGTCAAACTGGCAACTTTGTTGTTAAAAGCACATGCTCTAACCAACTGAGACACCCAGCCGCCTGATATCTAATCAATATTAAGTCTTCCTGTCCATAAACACAGGACATCTTTCCATTCATTTAGGTCTTTTTAAATTTGTTTCAGCAATGTTTCATAATTTTCAGTGCACGAGTCTAACATTCTTGGTTAAATTTATTCCAAAATACTTTATTCTTTTTGATGCTATTGTAACTGGAATTTCTTTCTTAACTTTCTTTGTGGCTTGTTCATTGCTGGCATACAGGAACACAAGTAACTACTGTGTGGTGATCTTGCAATGCTAGGGTTGTTTGTTTTCTTATTATAGGGTTTTAAAAGTTCTTTGTATATTTTAGATAACAGTCTTTTATCATCTATGTCTGTATTTTCTTGCAGTCAGTGCCTCATCTTTTCATTCTCTTGAGAGTAACATTCGCAGAGCACAAATTTTTAATTTTAGTGAAGTCTAGCATATCACTTCTTTATAAAAATAAAACCTGACCAAAGTAGCATACAAATAATAAAGCCACAGGTTCATCTCTCTATAAATTTAACAGCAAAAGTTAATAAAATGGTAACATTTGTAATCTACTGCCATATTAAAATTATACATTATATGAGCAACTGATTCCCAGAATGTAAGAATAGTTTAATGATAGAAGGCTTAATATTATTTTTCTAAAAAACAGATGAAAGGATCTCTTTTTTTCTTAATTAGCCTGGCTATGGGCTTATCAATTTTATTGATCTTTTCCAAGAGTAAGCATTGGTTTCATTGATTTCTATCTATTGGTCTCCTGTTTTCAATTTAACTGATTTCTGCTCTAATTTTCATTATTTCTTTTCTTCTCTTTACTTTAGATTTATTTTTCCCTTCTCTTTCTAGTATCCTAAGGTGGAGGCTAAGATCATTCAGTTTACCTTTCTTTGTAATATATGCATTCAATACTATAGATTTCTAAGCACTGCTTTCACAGTATCCCACAAATTTTGAGAAGTTGTGTTTTCATTTTCATTTAGATAAAAATATTTTTAAATTTCTCTTCAGATAGCTTCTTTGACCCATGTGTTATTTTGAAGTATGTGTATGTTGCTTAATTTCTAAGCATTTTGGAATTTTTCCAGCTATCTTTCTGTTATTTCCATCTACTCCAATTCCACTGTGATCTGAGAGCAGACACTGTATGATTCCTATTCTTTTAAATTTGTTAAGGATTTGTTATCAGGCCCAGAACGTGGTCTATCTTGGTGACTGTTCCATGTGAGTTTGAGAAGAATGTGTATTCTGCTGTTGTTAGATGAAATAGTCTATAGATGTCCCTTACATCCATTTGATTGACGCTTCCTACAAATCTTGTAGAGGACTAAAAACAGGTTTCAAACTTACATATATATCTTTAAACCAAGAAATTACACTTTCAGAAACTAGCCTTAGAAATGATGTTAAGATAATAACTATAGCTAACACTCACGGAGCCTTACCTTTGTGCCAGGCCCTGGGCTAAGCATTTTAAATGCATTAACTTATTAAGTGGTTCTATTATTAACCCCAATTTATAAATAATACAAAGAGATTATGAGTGTTTGATCAGTAGGTAAATGCATATATTTCAAAGTTTTCAATGGCAGCATTGTTTATTACAGAAAGAAAAAAAGCCCAGACTGCTGGATAGAACATGGCACTGAGAGTTAGAAAACCTGGGTTTAAACTGTACTCTGTCACTTACGATACAAAATCCTTAACTCTTCTGGGTCTCCATTTCCTCAAATCTAAATAATCGCTAAGATTTCTTTCAGTTAGCACTTTATGATTCTGTTTCATTACCCAAATCACCTAAGATAGTGCTGAAAACAAAGCAGTCCCTGATTGAAAATCATTTGAGATGGTAATTAATGTAATGACTTCTATATACTAATCCTGCTCTATAAGTATACATATTTATAGAACATATCTATTTTTGAAAGCTAAGACTGTGCAATTACAATAAATAAAAAAATGAAACAAAACAAACAAGTAAACCAATCCCCAAAACAAGAAATAAAATCTAGAGTTAATATTTGCGTTTATAGCAGAAATACCTAACATGCAACCACTGATATTCAATCATCAGAGAAAAAGCAAGTTCTGACCAATTCTATCACACTGATGTGACATATTTATTAAACAAGTATTAAATATCTGGCCCTGTGCTAAATTAATAATATACCTGCCTATGTTTTCGATAAACTAGGTCACAGTTTAGGTGGAAAAGACATTTTATGAATAAATAGTTATAATAAGAACTATGCTAAAGTTATTAACAGAATCCTATAGCAGCAAAGAATAAGAAATACTCAGACTTCCTGAGATAACATTCAACTTGATTCTTGTAGGTGTTGGATAAATAAGATACTAGACTAGATGTGGTTATGCAAGGAGTGGGTGGAGGTGGGGGCTGGCAGATACTACAGAGGAAACAGGATATATAAAGATTAGAGTTAAGACAAGGCAGACATCATATTTGGAATACAATTTAGTGCTGTAGAAAATATGTCCATTTAATCCCAATTCTCTCACTTTGGCATACACAATGTTAAAGCTAATAGTTACTGAATACTTATGATGTATGTACATGTATGTATGATGATGTAATAATACATATGTATGTACTTCTTACATAAAACCAATGAGATAGGGTTTTAGAGATGGGAAAATTTAGGTTCAAATGTTTTGTCCAGCTTTACATAGTCACTGATGAGACAAGCAGTGACAACTGGGCAGTTCAACACTAGTGCTGGCACAGGGTTTCCTTTGCTAAGCACTTCTGCTGAGATGTGTTAGCCCATGCCCAATGTGATCTCATCTTACCTAACAGAAGTATCTACAAAGCTACCTCTGAGCCTCTCCTAAGTCATTTACAAGTGAGAGGGTCGGATATCTAACCATGCCTCCCATGCAAATTACCACCACGTCCTGTCTGGGTATGTGGTCCTTCATAAATATTTTAACTCCTTCCTGATAGCATTCCCCACCTAACCATAGTCTTCCCTCTCCTTACAGCATAATTAGGAAGTCTATATCAGCTTCCTACTGGTAAGAATGAGTATTAAGAATGCTAGGTTTGAAGGATAGCTAATTTGTACTCTACACCAAACAGCACATTACTAACACTCCTATTAAGGCTAAAGAGGAGAAAATTAATTCAACTTCATAAATCTGGAATCAAACGATACCTTCAGTCCCTCCAACTCATTTTCCAGTTGCTTAGAATAGTGCTCGCTCTGTTCACGCAGTTTCCTGTCTTTAGATGCTTCAGCAGCTACGGCTTCTGTATGAACTTCCAGCTTTAAAATAAAATGAAAAAAGCAGATTTCATGGTTAGAATTGTTTTTCCAATAAAATGTTTTCCCCCATGGGAATTTACCTTGTAATATGAAGAAGATAATTTAAATGTTGATACTCATATTAAATGTTACCAAACTAAAAAACATAACCTTTTTCAAAAATTAAAAAAAGAAATATATATTATTTCACTAGTCTGAAAAAGCAGCTGTAATCACTACCCCATGGACACTATAAAATTTGCCTGACTACTAACCTCTTTTTTGGCTCTTTCTGTTCTGCGCAGCTCTTGCCTTAAGCTTTCAACTTTTTGCATCACCAGGTCCACCTCTTCTTCCTTATCTCGGACATGGCGAGCAAGTTTCTGTTTTTGGGTGTGCAACTCTGTTAGCCGCTCATTGATCTCCATGAATTCCTGCATGGCCAGTTTCCTCTGACAGTGTGCATCTTTCAGCTCTTTGGATTGGTTTTTTAATCGCTCACTAGCCTGGACTAGTTCCTACAGTTTTATAAAAAGAATATAAGTTACCAATTCTGCATGCAACCTGGGGACCAAATTTGGCCATCAAAGTTGCTATCATGAAGTCAAGAAGAGCCAAAATTATTCACCTCAGGACAAAATGAAATGAACTACTTTTGAACAGATATTAAGAGCATGGTACTCTGTTCATATTCTCAATTCCTTATGCTAACTGCAAAGGAACAGCCGATTTAACCTTCTAGTACCGTAGTTTCTACAAATAAAATGTACAGGAATACAAGATCTGATGGTCAAAACAAATGTTTTGTGAAATTTAATGGATATGTGATTTAAAAAAAATTGTATCAAATGATTACAAATGATAAAAACGGGTTGCTCTTCCTATGGAGACTAAGCCTTAGGCCTGAAGCAAAGAGAAAAAGTTAAACTTCCTGATTAGCGTGAGAAACTTATAGGGGGCTAAAGTAGACTAAGGTTAGTGGAACCATCTGCCTCTCAGCAAAAGGAAATGCAATCCTTCCTTGAGGAAATGAACCTCAATAAAATCTGGGTTGTTTTTTTTTGTTTTTGTTTTTTTAGCTGAGCCATCCTGCCACCTGTTGGCAGCTCAGCGGCAGCTCAGCTTGGGCTGGGACTCGAACAGCTGTTGCTCAGAGCTCACACTCTTGAGTGAGCTCTTAACCAACTGAGCCACTCGGCCGGCCCGAAATCTGGGTTTTTTAAGAGCACACAAATATGAGCTTACAACCATAGACTCTAAAACACCCAAAGAATGAGCAACCATAAGCAAACAATGAAAACGAACCCCAATGGTACTTGAATATTAGAATTATTAGATATTGACATAAAATTGCTATGTACAAAATGCTTGAAGAAATAAAGGAAATCATAAAATGTGAAAATGACAAGAGACTATTAAAAATGAACAGGCAGATTTATAAAACAACTTTATAGAACATTTAGAAATGAAAAAATGTAGGCATTAAAATTAAACACATGAATCCACCAACATAGAAAGCTCTACATTTATGAAGAAAAAAAAAGTAAACCGAGAAACTTTAAAAAAATATAACTGTATAACACCAAATAAAAGTAAAAGTCCTTAAAAGAAATCAGAGAAAAAATGACAAATCACCTATTCCCCAAACTCAAAAAAGAAAAAAAAAAAAAGACTCAGAGCAGACATCTAAGCAGTAACAATAGAAATGGAGAAATATTCTTAAAGAGATGAGAAAATAATTAATATTGTACACCCAGAAAATTACTTTTCAAGTATGAGGCTAAAATAATGAGATTTATATAAAAAATTGGACAGAGCTTACCACAATCAGATCTGCACTAAAGAAACCTCTAAAGATTTATTTTAGGAAAAAGAAAAATGATTTAGAAGGAAGGTCTGAGGAACGAGAAATGCAGGGCTAAGAAATTGGGAAATACAAATGTGAATGTAAACAAACATGTATAAGACTGTCTTATAAAAACATCTCATTTGTACAAAACAAAAAGGATATAACTAAAATATTGGTTAAAAACGTACAGATGTTGGGAAGACGTAACAGAGTTAAAGGTCCTTAAACTGTTTGGGATGGTTGTTTAATATATTAAATTTAGACTGCTAAACATACATGATAAAATTCAGGAGTAACTGCTAAAACAAGTAGCTAGTAAAATGGGAACAAGAAAACAAACAAAAACCTCAATTGAAAAATCAAGAAAAAGGTTTGCAAGATGAAAAAAATTCTGGAGATTGGTTGCACAACAATGTGCATGTACTTTACCCTACTTAACTGTACACTTAAAAAGTGATTCTCATAGTCAATTTATATTTTATATGTATTTTACCACAATTTTTTAACCCATGCATAAATGGAAATTTAATATATGACAGAGGTGACACTGCACATCACTGGTGAAAGGAGGGCCTTTTAGTAAATGAACTGGTTAGTCATACGAAGAAAAGTGCAATTGGATCCTTATCTCACATGATACACAAAAATAATTTCTGATGCATTAAAAATTTAACGATGAAATACCAAACTTAAAAACTTCAAGATAAAAACTTAGGAGAATTATTTTTTACCTCATATTTCTTATACAAGCCAGCAAATGCACTAATCATAAATATATTAACAAATTTGACTACATTAAAACTAAGAACTTTTGTTAATCAAAAGAGCCCATAAAGAAAATGAAAAGACAAGGAATTTTCAAGAATTCTTACAAACCAATAAGAAAAAGACAGAGAGCCCAACAGAAAAATGTACAAAGGATATTAAGAAGAATTTCACAAAGAAGAAAAATAAATGATAAGTAGACATATGTGGAGATACTCAACCATTAGTAATTAGAGAAATGCAAATTAAGATCACAATATATCATCATTTTAGACCTAAAATATCAATTCAGGCTAGACTGGCCAAAAAGGATATATGTAGTAATATGAAGTATTATTTAATATGAAAACTCCTATACTCTACTGCTGGGAGTATAAATTGATATAATCACTGGAAAACAACTTGGCATTATCATAAAAAATAGAATAGCTACATTGCCTATGACCCAATTATTCTATTCATGTTTGTGTGTGTGTGTGTACATCAGGATATATGTTCAAGAATGTTCATAGCAGCACATTTACAGTAGCTCTCAATTATAAGCAACCTAAATGTGAACAAAAATTTGGATCAATTGTAGAGTGTTCACATATGGTGTATTATATAGCAACTAAATGAACGATCTATACTACATGGATGAATCTTAGAAATATAATGAGTGAAAGAAGCCAAGTGCAAAAGCTTGCATATACCATTTTACAAAGCTCAAAAACAAGCAACATTACTATGTTGTTTAGAGATACTAATAAGTGATTAAAATTTTAAGGAAATGATTAACAAAATTCAGAACAGTGGTTGCCGTTTTCAGGGAAGTGAAGAGAAAAGGATACCCTGGATTATGCCACAAAATAGGTAATGCTCTATTTCTTAAGTTAGACGGTAGGTTCAGAGGTGTTCATTTTGTTATTTGCATGAAAACTTACATAATGTTAGGTATTCTTTTATATGCATCAAATGAAAAAGACTTTAAAAGAACACCTGCTGCCTTTATGATATTAAGCATATTACTTAAAATTCTTCATCATATAATCTGTTTCTTTTCAGCATTACCCTCTTTTCAAAATATACTAAAAGGATTTTTAATATTTAAACATTAAAAATTGGCAAAATACTTGTTATTATAAATCTGGATATGAGATTCTCATCCTCATTATATTAACTAAGCTTGGCTAAGTAATCCTACCTTTAAATACATAATAGTAACCACTAATATTACTATATATTATTGAAACAAATAGAACATCTGTTCTATGTTGCAAATATTAAACTGACCATGAATCTAATATACAACATTGCTTGAAACGTCATCAAAAGTAAAAATATATTAACTTAATTCAATTTAACCTTTATAGCTTTCTGTTAGTCTTTTTTTAATTAGCTTCATCAGCAAAAGTTTGTTTTATTTTTAATTACCTCCATTTCTTTACTGAAAGCAACGCTTATGAATATTCCCCAGAAGAATTTCATTCTGTATTATCAACGTATTAAATACTACATCATTGAATACAATTTATGCTACACATAAAACACTCATTTCTTTTTTGCATTGGCTAGTATTAATTCCCACAATTCTTTTTTATTTGTTAATGATAGGCAAAGTACACACAGAGAGTGGTTTAAATAAAGTACTTTTCTCTAGTGCTTGAATATTAATTACCTTATTGGATAGTATTACAGTGCCCTAGCTACTAATAAATTTTATTGATGTTTATAATACTGTTTAAGTGTTACACAAAGTTCTTATGAAAATCAGTTTAGCTTGTTCATCCATGCTTTGAAAGATAAAATGACATTTTAAAAAAATTATTAAAGCATTAAAGAAATTTTCTGTTAAAATTGTTTAATGTTAGTATCAGCAAAACACAATAAAAATGTGCCTGTATTTTTTATTTTTCCCTAGACACTAAACAGATTTTACCATTCTCTTATTTATTCATATTTCTTTTTCAATAACATTCACTTTTAATCAAGTCCTTTGATTAACTTTCCAAAAGAACAAGATTGTGAACTTTAAAGCCTCAAGATTATGTTTTTTCACTACTAGCTATTAATCAAAGGACATACACCAAAATAATTCTTAAAGTTTTAAACCGACTTTTTACAGATAAAATATACTATATCTTAGTCTAATTCGTTACGAATGCTTTCAGTTTACAAATTAAACAAGATTCAGAAAAGCCTTTAACAATCTAGCCATATATCCTTACCTTATTTAATTCTTCTCTTTCTTGTTGTAATGTTTTGATTTGCTTTTCATAAGCCTTGATTTGTCTAAAAGCATCATCTAGTTCTCGCCTCACAGAATTAGCTTCTTCAAGTTGTTGTTCCAAGTGACTTGATTCTAAAAACAGAAGGCAATGTTTCTTTTACTATTTGCATAAAAACAAATGCTTGAAACCAAGGTTTAAAACAACTTAATTTTTTTTAAAATAAAGTATTCTGAATTTTGTATTAAGCTGACCAACACCACATAGCACTATGACCCATGACAACTAAATGCTGATCAGTTCACAGTGAATAGCCAATGCCAGTGTGAAAATGTACAAAATTTACATGCAAATGCCTTACATATCTACTAGAATAAAAAGACCACACTTCTAAAAACAGTGCCTTCAGAATCATTAAAACTTAAAACTAACAAAAAAGAACAAAACCAAACAAAACAGACAAGTATTCTCTCCTGTTGGCTGGAATTCTTGTGCTGACGTTAGTCAAATTATTGTAAGATGGTTTTGCTTCTAATATTGTGGTTCCACATCACCCAGCCTGGTTTCACTAGTGATGATGTGAAGAATAAACACCGATTTCTAAAAGTAAATATTTGAAAGCCTCTACTTGAGGTTCCTGTATTTTTCAGATGAAAAAAACTAAGGCTCAAGGTTGTTGAATAACTTGCCAAGGGTCACGTTGCTAAATGAGTATAAGAGCTAAGACTACAGACCAGGAATCCCTGCTCTGAAAGTAACGTTATTAAATAATGTTTAACATTATCAGTTCAGAAGAGTTATTATGAAACAAAATAAAATTATTAACTTTAGACTATGTTTAAATAATATTTAATAAACTGATATGAAACGTTCCTGGCATCAATTTACAAAACTGAAGTCAGTGAAAACAGAGAAATCAAAACACATTCATTATGAATTTTGTTTGGAATGTTTTCTGCTCTTTATAACTTTGCTACTCTGAGTGTCATCCCCAGACAAGTCGCATTAGCATCCTCTGGTAGCTTGTTAGAAATGCAGAAGCTAAGGCCCCACGCCAGAACTACTGAATCAGACTCTGTATTTTATTTCTAATAACAAGATCCCCAGGTGACTCGTTTGCAAATATTTTATGATTTCACTTGTATGAGGTTCCTAGAGTAGTTAATTTCAAAGAAACAAAGTAGAATGGTGGTTGCCAAGGGCTGCTGGATGGGAGGAATGGGGAGTTATTATTTAATGGGTAGAGTTTCAGTTTAGGATGATGGAAAGTTCTGGAGTTGGTGGTAGTGATGGATACACAACACTGTGAATGTACTTAATGCCACTGAACTGTATACTTAAAAATAGTTCAAATGATCATTTTTATGTTATGTATATTTTATCACAATAAAAATCATGAATGAATGATACTGAGGAGACGGAATGGAATCAAGGGCATCACTGAGACTAGCCCATGATCACAACAGAGAGCTTGGGAGGAAGGAAGAATACTAGAAAGGGGGATTCACCCGTTCGTTCTCTGAACATTATTTTCACTGTTTCTATTCCACCCCTGAGAAACGACTAAAAATTAGTAAAGAGAAGTCCTATAAGCACTGAATTTAGGGAAACAGTGGCAATAAAATAAATGAAGGAAACCTCAATCAATAGGAGTTCAATGGTAATCAATTTCCCCAATCAGGGTGACTACTTCTAGGGACTATTTATCTGTATGTAGGGGATGAAAGTGAACACATTGCCTGTAAAGACACAATGTAGAAAGATACCTTACGAAGTGATCAGAGAAGGTTTCCAAGGGTGAGGTTTTATTTAGTCATTCACTCATTCATTTACCAACAAATATTGACTTAGGTTTTTTTATGTGCCAATTACTATTATAGGCACTGGATGTATATCAATTAATAAAATAGTCAAAGTACCTGTTTTCAAAGAGCTTATAGTCTAGTAATGAGGAGAGGAAAGTAAAGTGATATACCAATAAAAAAAATGTCAGTGGTGAAAAGTATTATAGAAGACTGGAAGTTTGCCAGTTGAAGAATGTTTTCAGCAAACAAACAAAAATGGAGGGGGGGGGAATGGGGGGGTGGGGAGAGGAGGGGAAAGAAAAGAAAAAAAAACCAAATATGTGAAGAGGTGATTAGATGGCACTAAAAGTCATTCACTACAGCTGGAATCAGTGGGTGAGGGAGAAGCAACAAGAGATGAAGGTGGAGAGGCAAATACATGCAAGATAACGAAGAACCTTGTAATCAGAATTGAGGAATTTTAATTTAATCCTGGGGGCAATGGGAATCCACAGAAGATATTTAAGCATGTATGTTGAATCTGTGATGTAATCAGATTTACATGGTGAAAGCTTACTTAGGGGCTTCTGCTTCCAGAAAGATGGAATAGATGTATCTCCTCTTTTCCCCTTTAAGTACAACTAAAACCCCTGGGCATTATACATAAAATCAACTAAAGAAAACTGAAATTTGTAGAGAAAAAGGATGACCAGCGAGGGACAATGGCACCTGACACAGTGGTGTTAGGAACATTGGAATGTCATAGGGGTAAGTTCCCCAGGTTTTCTTTGGGGTTCATATTTCAAAGACTTAGAGCTGAAGAAGCTGGCAACCCGGAAATGCCAGGGACGGAGAATTAAAAGCCCCAACCAAAGCCTACTCTTTCTAGCTTAAGGATCAGGAAAAGGGGCAAACAAGCAAGACAGAAAATTTTTAGAAAGTAACTATTCTCCAGTTAGAGACCACAGAAAAAAACCCCGGTGGCCCCACAGTCAACTTTGTCAGCAAAGGAGGCGTGAGGAGCTCGACTTGCAATCCCATGAGACCATAAGGAAGTGCCCACACCCAGTGCTGGTAACAAGCGCCTTCCCACCTGCAGTGTCAGTGGACACCGCGTGGGGAACTAGGACTTCCCCCTCCAGCCAGCAGTAATGAGGATCTGGTCCTCTCCCCACGGGGGTGGTATAGGAAGAGAGTAAGAACTGTCGCCATCACCCAGTGGTAATAAGACCACCCCACCACAGGATCAGTGGAAACCAAGTGTGGGGCTGAAATTCCCAACCTCTTCCAGGAGTAAGGAGGAGCCCCTTTTAGGGTGTCAACAAAGGCCAACTGGGGAAACTCAACTTTTACCCCAACCTAGCAGTAAGGAGACAGCAATCCCTTTTCCACTGCTGGGGTAGTATCAGGAAGAACTAGCTAAAATGGAAAATCCACCATCATCAATCAAAAATCACCCATTCTACAAAGAACAAGGAAAATCTCAACTTGAATGAGAAAAGAAAATTAATAGATGCTGACACTGAAATAATAAGAGCTGTTAGAATTATCTCACAAGACATGAAAACAACTATGATAAAAATGCTTCAATGAGCAATTATAAACATATATGAAAGAGATAAACAACCAGAAGACCTGAGCAAAGATATATAAAGTCTCAGCAAAGAAACAGAAGATTAAAGAAAACCAAAATGGAAGTTTTAAAAATGAGTAAAATAAAAATCTCAGTGGATGTATTCAACAGCACAAAGGAGGGATCAGAGGAAAGAATCAGTGAGCTGGAAGATATAACAGTAGAAATTAATCAATCTGAACAACAGAATGAAAACAAAAATGAACAGACTCAGGGACTTGTGGGGGTGTGGGATAACAAAAGATCTAACATATGTGTCCTCAGTCCCAGAAAGAAAAGAGAATGCAAGCAGGTGTGTAAAAAGAAACTCAAAGAAATAAGGACTAAAAACTTCCCAAATTTGGCAAGAGACATAAACCTACAGATTCAAAAAGATAAACAAATCCCAAAGAGAACAAACCCAAAGAAATCCATGACAAAACACACCATTAAACACAAAGAAAAGAAAAACCTTGCAAGCAACCAGAGAAAAACACCTTAGACAAAGGAGAAAAAAACTCAGAATGACAGTGAATTTCTCCTCAGAAACTATGGAGTCCTAAAGCAAGTGGCTTTTCTGATGTTAAAACAAAAGAACTATCAACCCAGGATCCTATGCCCAGCAAAAATATTCCTTACGGATAAAGGGAAAATTAAGATATTCCCAAGATGAAGAAAAACTAAGAAGATTTGTGTACCTTTAAAAAATGGCTAAAGAGGTTCTCTGAACAGAAAGCAAACAACAAGGAACTCAGTAATTTCAGGAAGAAGAGCATGGCATATAAAAACATGAGTAAATACCATAGAATTTTCTTTCTCCTCTTAAGTTTTCTAAATTACATTTCATGGTTGAAGGAAACATTATAACCTTGTCTGATGTGCTTCTAAAACATGAAGAGGAAATACTTAAAACAATTATATAATAAACATGGAGAATAAATCGTTGTCAACATAAAAATAGGCTGCTCTCTCTATATACTTACTCAGATCACGTGATGCCTGTTAACCCTATAAAAGGTTCACATTTCACTCAGAATAAAACAAAGCCCTTGAAACAGTCAGTAAGACTCTACTGACCAGGCAACAAGCCCTCTCCACCCCTTCACTTCTCTAATCATCTCCTTCCATTCTCCCTGCTTGCCCATTCTACTCCAGACATGCTGTCCTGTTTTATTTGAACTCACGAGGCCCATTCTGACTCTACGGCCTTTGCACTGGCTGGTGCTTCTGCTTGGAACATGAGTTCCCTATTTAACTGCATGGCTAAGCCTCTTAGCCTTCTTCAAATTTTTGCTCACATGTCACCTTCCCGAGACTTACACCTGCAATACCCTACTTAAAATTATAAAACTCCTCTTCTTGCACTTTTGACCCATTCCTCTTATTCTGCTCAATTTTATTTTATTTTTTTAGATGAGCCATCCTGCCACCTGTTGGCAGCTCAGCGGCTGCTCAGCTCGGGCTGGGACTCAAACCGCTGTTGCTCAGAGCTCAAACTCTTGAGCGAGCTCTTAACCAACTGAGCCACTCGGCCGGCCCTATTCTGCTCAAGTTTTAAACACTTGTCACCTCCTAGCATCCCAAGAGCCTAAAACAACACCTGGTACATAGTAGGTGCTTAATAAATATTTGTTGAATGAATGAATGGATATAATAGGTATATTAATAGTTGTCAACATCAGTTTTAATCTATCTCATAAATACAGTGCAAAATGAATTGTTACAAAAAAAATATTTTAAGGCCTGTATACATGTCATTCCCTTATCTACACTGTCATTCCATCCTCACTCCTAACACTTTCCCCTACTCATGTATATGCTTTGCCAGACAAATTCCAACGAAATATCCCAAACTAATAAGTCTTCCAAGAAAGTCATATTTGTTCACTTAAATCTGGCTTAGGTGCTCCTTCTATGTACTCCCCAGGTACCTATGTTTATTTTTCCTATAGCCTTTTCACATGTACAGTAAAAACTATTTATCTTGTTTCCATACCAAAATATGAGCTTCTTGAGAACAGAAACCATTCTTATTTGCTTTTCCCTCGCTGGCATATAGCTCATGTCACACAACACATAACAAGTACTCAATAAATGTTTTATGTGTGAATAAAACATTTTTTAAAATCTATTAAATTGAATTAATAGTGAATCACAGAAATTTACCTCTTATTTGTTTCCTTAGTTTTTCAATTTCTTCTTTTAAGGTTTTTATTTCTAAATCTTTGCTTGCTGTTAGTGGACCATCAGCAGTTGAATACTGGAGAGCTTGGACAGTCTGTGTTGACTCTTTAAAAACAAAACAAGATAAAATAAGAAGGATGGCAATATTTTTAAAACTAATAGCAATATATCTCTTTCTAGAGAAATCCTTATAATTCCACTGGTCAAAACATCTACCCATTGACAAAAAGCATGTAAACACACTAAAATTAAATTACACAACTCCACTTGTGTATCTTTAAAATTACAATATATGTAAGAAAGAATCTACCTTCTAACATGCAATTTTCAGTTTTAAACACTGTTGGTGCACTCCGCCAGTGAGTCAGCTATTTGGCCCCTTTTACCCTCGTAGGGAGTGGCATCATGTGATAACCCCATGCTTGGGATGATGTACCAAAAAACTAAGTCCGGTGTATGAAGGGAGGTTTGGAGATGTTAATCTACAATACGCAGAAGTTCTGGCCCTGAAAATTTTATGTATGAAAGTTGAGGCCCACCTATAGATGACTTTGGCTCAACAGTTTAGTTACTCTGCTGTTACATGGAGGGCTCTCCAACAGTAAGTCTCTGCCTCACCATGAGTTTTTATTAGGACAAATCAGTATGGATGCTTTATATGACAGTCACGCACTGCTTACAGCAGCAATGTGGTCCAAGGAAGGCATTGTCAGGCGATTCTGTCATTGTGCCAACATCATACAGTGTACTTACACAAAACTAGACAGTACAACGTACTACTGTAATTGTGTGTGTTATACTTTTACATGACTGGTAGCACACTAGGTGTGTTTACACCAGCATCACCACAAACACATGAGTAATGAGATGCTCTACAACATTACGACAGCTGCGACATCGCTAAGCCATGGGAATTTTTCAACTCCATTACAATTTTTCAACTCCATGGGAGCATTGTGGTATATGTGGGCCGTTGTTGACCAAAACAGTGTTATCCAGCGCATGACTCTACTTATTTATATATTGCTTTATATAACTTATTATTTATATAACTTATTAAATATATTACTTATTATATATATATATATATATATATATATATATATATATATATATATATATATATATATATATATATATAAACTTTGAAGGACTGTGACCTTCAGAGAATGGAGATTTTCTAATTTATCTTCACCACTTGTACAGAGAATAGCATCATGATCATCGTGCATAGTTGTCAATAAATATTAATTTGAATTTAAAGGCGTAAGATATACCATCTTGTGCATCCAGCCATGATCTTCTACACCTAGTAAGTATTTCTTTATCTTTGAGTTTAAACATGCTAAAAACTGGTACTTGTTCTATTTATTGTTTTTCAAAGGATATCCTTTGTTTATTTTAAAGACATTTATGTTGGGAGTAGAAAATGGGGAGACATAAAAATAGTCAGTGGAGTGCCGGCCGGTGGCTCAGTTGGTTAAGAGCGTGAGCTCTGAGCAACAGGGCCACTGGTTCGATTCCCACATGAGCCAGTGAGCTGCGCCTGAGCTGAGCTGCTGCTGAGCTGCCAACAGGTGGCAGGATGGCTCAGCTGGTGAGAGCAAGTGCTCCTAACAAGGTTGCTGGTTCAACTCAAGCATGGGATAGTAGGCCACACCGACCCACAACTAAGATTGAAGGACAACAACTTAGCTGTTCCCCTTCCCCAATTCCCCAATAAAATATTTTTTTAAAAAAAGAATAGTGGACATTAGGAGCTATTTTTCCTCCCACACCCCACATACTGTAGAGGATGGAAGTGGGGGAGGTATCCTTGCTCCTCTTTGTCACCTCTGTCCTCCCTGTAAGTCCCAGGTCAGCTACAATGCCCATTACCTATTCATTATAGTTACCCACTCTCTTTCTTGTCTTATCCTCTCTTTGAATAACAATTTTACACACTGTTTACTATCCCTCTTTCCATTACAACTCTTTTTATTATTCTTAGTGACTTTAACATAAAAATTGACAATCTACCCAATACTCTAGCTTCTCAGGCACACAAATCCTGGCAGGTTCTGTTGGGTTTTTATTTACCCAGCAGCTATTCCTCTCTCCTTTCCTGTGAGCCAAATTCAGGTATCGGGCTACAATGTGCACAGGTAAGTGGGCCCAGCCCAAGCTGCGGATGGTGTCAGTCAGTCATGGTAACCCCATTCTACATTATAGTCTTAGCGAAGAATTAGGTATGTGACTTGGTTACACCTAATAGTACCTTGAGAAAAAGTCCACAGGGGAGCTTGGCTTCATGGAAAATTTTAATCTCCCATCAAGTAAAAGATGTATTAAAGGAAATGAAACTTCCTGTTTTTTGGGTTGTGGATGTGTGAAGACATGATGACTGAAACCTTGGCAGTATCGTGGAATCACGAGAGGAAAGCCAATACAATCACAGAGAAGCTATCCCTGATATCAGCACTGAAACTGTCTAGTTCCGGCTTAAGTGAGATAATAAATCCATATTAGTTAAGAATTCTATTACTTGCAGCCCAAAACAACCTAGCTGGTAGACTTCCCTCCAGCACAACCACCAAGTCCATTGGTCATATCCTAGACCTTATGTGAACTTAGAAATGTGTCTGTGTGTCTGTGGTGGGGGTGAGGTGGGTAGTATTGACACAGTGCTAGGAGACTGCTAGAGATATTTAGTATCTGGGGACAAAGAAAGCTTAATATCTTAGAGAATGTGAAACAGTCTCTCACATCAGAGAATTACCCTGCCCCAAATACTTGAGAAATGCTACTGTATACTTTGTCATTATTAATAATTGTACAGCCTCTGAAGTCTTGATTTCAAATATACCACCCTCTGACTACCTCTTATGTTTACAGTTTACAATAGGGACCTCTTCAATAATTCCTCATTCACACCAAAAATGGCAATCTACTGCTGCTAGCTAGCACTTTTCAGTCTTTTCTCTTTTCTTCCTTATTTGCAGGTTAGATTCCATGATCGATCACTACAATACTACTTTGCATACACACCGCAATCTCTTTGCCCATCTCTCCTCAATTGTCCTTAGCCTAGAGGAACCAATCTTGGCTGAATCCTACTCTGTGCTTTCAACCTAGAAGCTTAATATACTGAAGAAAACAATGCCATTTAAAATTCATATCTAAATAAATAAATGAATAAATAAAATAAAATTCATGTCTACTAACTTGAAATACCTTGGCGATGCCTGGCAATCCTAAAATATTTCCTTAGTCCATTTACTTTTCTCTAAACTGATCATTCCACATCTTTTCTTTTTCTTGTCAAAAATCTAAGACAGTCTCCATTTTCCTTATATTCAGCTGATGACCCTGCTTTGTGTTTGATATATCACCTGTCTCCTCAAAGCAGAATGTAAGGAGGGCAATGGCAGGCATTTTTTCTTTTTCTGTTATATTCCCCGTCATATGCAGAACAATTTCTGGCTCATTGGTGCTCAATACATAGCTGATAAATGGTTGAGTTGCCTTAAATGTTAACATATGCCATTGTATGAAACAGGTAATACCAAAAGGCAATGATCTTATATTTTCATTGGGTTTGCTTTATGCAAATTATACCAATCACATGTAACAACTCTAAGAACATACTGAATAATTCAAACCATCAAAAAAACCTAGGACATAGAAATTTCTCATTCAGAATAAGATGGAGTAGGAAGCAACAGGTTACTGCTCTATTGCTCCCACTGCAAAAAGCAAACGTGCACTGCATAATTTGCAAAAATCTTATTTTTACAAACATTATATATCGGGGGAAGCAAAAAGGACTAATTAACCAGAGAGGGATGAGCCACTGTGAGTTGAAAAGGCTATGATAGTTACCTCTTACCTCGGAACCTTATCCAGTTCTGTGAGCGGGCTTAGGCTCAAGTTTGCCCTGAACTGAGAAAGATTAGGCTAGGAAAAAAAAAAAAATCATAGCTTCCAGAGAATAGTTGGGCTGGTACAACAATATGGAAACCTCACAATCCCTAAATATATGGTGCTCTTTTCCTCATTGTGTATTTGTTTTATCAGGGGGCTTCATGGAAGTTAAGGAGCTTCCAAAAGCCAGACACTGAAATCGCCTGCAATGTTAGAGTATTCAGAGGCACAGGTTTACATGAAGAAGAGGGCCTGTCTCAAACATATGGCCAGTCTTCCCATCAAGACATCTGCCATATTTGGAAGTGCCATGGGGTAGGAGGGGGAAAGGCAGAATAAGTCGCCCACAGTTTATAAAGGAGAAAGAGCCCCACCCAAGCTCCATCTTGTTCTCCCTCATGACATTTGAAACCAGAAGTACTAGGTGGAGTCTAATTAAAGCTGCAAACCAGCCTGTCCTCGCTCAATTTCTGACTATACAATGAAAGGGAAATCCTATCTGGAGTGAAAATAACAGAAACATAATTCTCTATGTTATTTTTATCCATGATATGTGTCATTCAATAAAAATTATGACACATTTGGAAAAGCATGAAAACGTGATCAATAATCAGAAGACAAGATCAGAAATAGAGACAGACCCACAGATTATGCAGGTATTCGAAGTCACACAAGGACTTTAAAATAACTATTATTAGTATGTTAAAGAAAACAGAGGAAAAGATAACCAAAAAATGAAAAATTTCAACAAAGAACTGAAAATTATAAGAATCAAATGGATATTCTTGAACTAAAAGAGACAATATATGAAATGATGACTCACTAGATGGACTTAACATCAGAATAGACACAGTGGAAGACAAACCTAATGAACCTGGAGGCAAGTCAATTAAAAATATTCAAATTAAACACAAACAGAACTAAGAATGGGAGGAACGGGATAAGAAATGTGGGACACTGTCTAAGATATACACAGTTGGAGTCACAGAAGGAAAAGTGAGCTTAAATGGGGCAAAAGAAACATCCAGAGATTATAGCTTAGAATTTCCCAAAACTTATAAAAGATCTCAATCAAGATTCCGAAAGCTCAATGCATCCCAACGGGATTTTATAGTAATACAAAGTAAACCACACCTGGGCAGATCATAGCCAAACTGCTTGAAACTGAAGTTAAAAAGAAAAATCTTAAAAGTAGCAAGAGA